CAGCTCCCTGCTAATGCACTTGGGAAAGCAGCAGAGGATGGCCCAAGTACCTGGGCCCATGTGGGAGACCAGATGAAGCTCCTGGCTCCTGGCTTCAGCCTGGCCCAGCCCTGGCTGTTGTGGCCATTTGGGAAATGAACCAATGGAGTCTCTCTCCACACCCCCAACTCTGCCATTCAAATGAATAAATCAATCCTTTAAAAAATCATAAGAAAATTTTTAAAATGCTATAAATAGTGCCTATTGCAAACTGAGTTTTACCCTGACATGGAATAGCTGTAGTTCCTTCTCTTTTTCACACATATATTTTCTCTGTCTCTGCCTCCCCCAACTTCTCCCCCGCCCCAACACACACTGAGCCCTGAGAAACTTGGACCAAAAGGGTCAAGACTAGGAAATTTGAGTCACGCAATAATTGTCATTTTAAATGGAAAATCCAGTTGTCTAGTCACTGTTCAATAGTTAGACGTCAAGGCAATGTTGCCGTCATGTTTACGTGAGATCCAGTCCATCACTGTTGCTATTAGATGCTCTTCAGGACAAATTTAGTGCCTTTCAGGACTGCAAGGACCCTAGAACATACTGAATTCTGGCTCAAACTTAGTCTCAGAATTTCCTCCGGCTCTTCCTGAAATTGTCTTCATGTCTGTCAATTCCTGGGCTCCATTTGGGGAAGGATGTTTCTATCTGACTCTCCCATCTTTCAGGCTCAAGTATGTGGGCCATTTAGTGCCAACCCTTGGCAAACCTTTCTGTGGCTGAGGGACCCCACATGCCCTAACTCTCTTCTTGTTTCCTGTGTCTCACTCATAGTTAGCCTGGAACAGTCCTCAGTGAGTCATCTGTCTCTGGGGCTTCATCTGTTTTCTGAAGTCTTTCAATCTGGACTGGCTTTGCCAGTAGGCAGATGGCCTCAAAAGTAGGCATCGTGTGAGTTTCATGTGAGAGCCAGGAAGAAACGTGAGCCTCTTCCTGTTTCGAAGTCCTGTTCGTTTCAGGGTGGCTGACTGACAGCTTTGCTTGAGATGAGACAGCAGGTCTCCTGAGTTCAGGGCACAGCCAAGCCATTCTGCATCCAACTATCAGCTATCCAACTATGCTTCCCCAGTTTCTCTCTGTAACTCATCACTTACATAATCCTTAGTTCGGTGGTCTTCAAAAATCCTGTCTTTACAGATTCAAAAATATTTAAACACACATGATGGCAGATTGACATGATTCCATCAAGAAAAAGTACATATTTTTGTCCCAGAAAAACTATATATATTTATTAATTCATGAAGAATAAAGAAATATGAGCACTCAACTATGCATAGTGTATTGATCAGCAAACTTTGTTTACTTTGTGTTATAACCATTTAATTGAGACTGGAAAGTGCTGCTGCAGAAGTACCAGCTTCTAAAACTTGGTGTCTGGATGCACCTGCTAGACAGAGCTAAGTGCTAATGGCATCACAGTGAGAAGTCCCTCCAAAGTGGCACAGAACCTATTCCCTTTGTCCTCAAGTAAGCCATGGGCATTGAAAAGGACCAGGAAAGAAGAGGGCTGCATCGACATGCCTAGTACTTTCAGAAGAGCAGCAAAGACTGGCACCAGAAGAGAGTGAACAGGTAGCACATCCCTGCATATGAAGAATGTTATTGTTGTTGGTCTGGAGTGTGAAAGCAGAAACCACAGGAAAACCAGCAATTGTGTCTTTAATTAGAAACACTCAGTAATTGTCCTGTGTTTTCATCTGCAGCATCACGCTTGTAGTCAGAAGTGATCATTTTGGGGACCAGTGTTGTGTCATAGCAGATAAAGCTGCCACCTGTGGCACCAGCATCTCATATGGGTGCCAATTCAAGTCCCAGCTGCTCTACTTCTGATCCAGCTCCCTGCTGATGTGCCTGGGAAATCAGCAGAGAATGGCCCAAGTGCTTGTGCCCTTGTACCCATGTGGGAGATCCAGAAGAAGCTCCTGGCTTTGCACTGGCCAAGCTCTGGGAGTGATAGAAGATTCATTCTTTCTATGTTTCTTGCTTGCTTGCTTGCTTTCTCGCTTTCTCTCTTTCTCTCTCCCTCTCTCCCTCTCTCTCTTTCTCTCCTAACCTCTCCCTCTCTGCAACTCTGCCTTTTAAATAAATAATTTTCTTAAAAAATGATCATTTAAGAATGATTTGACCTTTCTACACTTTGTGGCATAGGTGCTCTTCACTTGTCCTGGTTTCTGTGAGTGAATTTTAAAACTGGTCTGGAAAAGGAGAATTTTCTTTCCTTTTAAATCTAGATTTTTGAAGTCTTAATAAGTGTCTTACAAGGTTATTTTCAAAATTCTTAAGTATATTAAAGCCTATTTTAACATACCTTGCAAATATTATAGAATGAGTCATGCTGTACACTGAATCCCATATACCTTGTAAGCATATTGCAATGTGGAAAATCTACAAGGCCTCAGTTTGTTTGTTTGTTTGAAAGGCAGAGTGGACAGTGAGACAAAGAGACAGAAAGGAAGGTCTTCCTTTACTGTTGGTTCACCCTCCAATGGCCGCTGCGGTCAGGAGCCAGGTGCTTCACCTGATCTCCCATGCGGGTGCAGGGCCAAGCACTTGGGCCATCCTCCACTGCACCCCCTGGCCACAGCAGAGAGCTGGCCTGGAAGAGGGGCAACCGGGACAGAATCCGGCGCCCCGACCGGGACTAGAACCTGGTATGCTGGCGCCGCGAGGCAGAAGATTAGCCTAGTGAGCCACGGCGCCAGCAGGGCCTCAGTTTTAATATCTTAACTCTGTACAGGTTTCAAGGAGCAAAATATCTGTGTATTCATGGTACAATTATGTTCTAGAATTCAGATGATTTATCAAAATTTCAAATTGAGCTAATCTAGTTTAAAGGTAATTGTCACAGTGACCAGCATCATGGCACAGCAGGTGAAGCCATCATCTGTGACACCAGCATCCCATGTCAGAGCAGAGTCTGGAGTCCCTGCTCTGCTCTTGTGAAACTCCTGCTAATGCACCTGGGAAAACAGCAAAAGATGGTCAGATTTGGACTCCTGCACCCAGATGGAGTTCCAGGCTCCTGGCTTCTGGCTGGCCCAGCCCCGGACATGAGGCTACTGGGGAGTCACCCAGTGGTTTGAAGATCACTCTCTCTCTCTCCCTTCCTCTCTCTCTTTCTCTGTCTCATCTCTTTCTGTCACTCTGCCTTTCAAATAATATATAAAGTAAATCTTTGAAAAATTGTCACAAATATGAACCTTGGGCTAAGCAAGGTATTTATTCTATAAGGTTTCATCAAAATGTCCAACCACAATCAAGTTAATGGATGTGATGCCAGATGGTAGTATGAGAGGAATAAATAAGTGCTTTGTAGTCAAGCGTAAGCTGGAATCTTAGCTCTCTCTCTCTCTTATAGTTGAAAATGTGCAGGCAGCTTACTTTTTTGGGATTCGCAGATTCTCTTTTTGTAAATTGGGTTTAAAAATGCGTATCTTGCACAATTTGTGAGGATGCAAATGACTATGTGGAGAAGCCAGCATTGTGAATGAAATAATAAGCACTCAACAAAGAATAGCCCTTTGAATAAATTGTGTTTAAAAGAGCAAATCCATTTCACATTCAGTATTGAATTCAGTGCTACCTCTCATAAACGAAGTTTATAAACTTATCTTACTAATATTTATCTAGAATTTAGAGCATATTTTCAATGGGGACCATTTCTTTGTTTGATTGCTATTTATTTCTTTTGACAAAATCACTTTCTTGACTAGTGTCTGCTAATACTATCTGATAGAATCAAAAAGGGAGAGAACAATCTAACATGGAAAATGGGATACACAGCAGACTCATAGAATGGCAGATGTCCTAAACAGCGCTCTGGCCTCAGAATCAGCCCTTAAGGCATTTGGATCTGGCTGAAGAGCCCATGAGATATTTTAGGCATGGAAAGCCAAGACACTCTGGGAAAAAAAAAAAAAAGACCTAAATGAAAGGTCTCTGCAAGTGAGATCCCAGTGGAAAGAACGGGCCATCAAAGAAGGAGGTACCTTTCTCTGAAGGGAGGAGAGAACTTCCACTTTGATTATGACCCTGTCTGAATAAGATCAAAGTTGGCAAACTCAAAAGGCTTCCTTAGCCTTGGAAACTCATGACTAGAGCCTAGGGAGATTACTGACGCCATAAACAAGAGTGTCAAATTGTTAAGTCAACAACAGGAGTCACTGTGTACTTACTCCTTATGTGGGATCTCTGTCCTTAATGTGTTGTCCAGTGTGAAGTAATGCTATAACTAGTACTCAAACAGTATTTTACACTTTATGTTCTGTGTGGGTGCAAACTGATGAAATCTTTACTTAATATATACTGAATCGATCTTCTGTATATAAAGATAATTGAAAATGAATCTTGATGTGAATGGAATGGGAGAGGGAGCGGGAGATGGGAGGGATGCAAGTGGGAGGGAAGTTATGGGGGGGGGAGCCATTGTAATCCATAAGCTGTACTTCGGAAATTTATATTTACTAAATATAAGTTTTAAAAGAAAGAAGAAAAACAACAACAACAAAATCACTTTCTTACAAACCTTAATAGAGAATATCCACCACTCAATCATTATTTTTAAGTTTTATTTTCTTGAAAGAATTATAGAAAGAGAGGGAGAGATGTTCCATCCAGATGTCTATGATGGCTTGGGCTGAGCCAGGCTGAAGCCAGGAACCTGGAAATCCATCTGGGTCTCCTTCATGGGTACAGGGGTCCAAGCACTTGGGCCATCCTCTGCTGTTTCTCTAGCAGGGACCTGGATGAGAAGTGGAGCAGCCGGGACCGCAATCATTGCCCATGTGGGATCCTGTACCACAGGCAGAGGCCCAACCTTCTACGCCTCAGTGCTAGCCCCTGCATTTTTCTAACATAGGCAAGATTTTATGGTCTCGTGTTGAAAAAAAAAAATTGGTGTCTGAAGACTATCTGAAATTGATGATATATTTCCATATTTTCTACTTTTGTTTTAAAATTAGGCCTCAGAAGTCTCCAGAAACAGAGGAGCCTCTTTACTGGCCCGGCCAGGACACAGCCTGGTAGCTGCTATTCGGAGCCAACATCAACATGAGTCATTGCCACTGGGTAGGTATCACCCTTCTTGGAATCCTTGGATACTCAATGCTTAACCTTGTTTTTCTCATGAATTTATTAGCTTTTGAGATTCTGTGTTTTCTTTCTCCTCTTCTGTGACACAGTCCACCCGCCCTGGTCCTTTGCTCCTACTTTTCTTTCACTCTTCTCCCTTCCCTTCTCTTCCTCTTGTCCTTCTCTATTCCTTCCCTCCCTCTCTCATTACTACTTCTGTAGACTGCCTGCTGCTTCCTTATCTTATTGAATGACTTGTTCACTCAGTCCAGAAGAGCATAGTTTCACTGAGAGGGTAGACTTCATTGCTGGTGCATTCAGCTTTTAATTTGGAGCTCTCTTTCCATGCACATATTGGGAAAACTTTGCAGCCTTCACTTTTTCCAAAATACATGCCATATGTCCCAGGAGAAATTAGGTGTGGAAGTCTAAGCCATGGGCACTTCCATTATCACAACTGGGAGCTTTGTGGCCAAGTGCTGCGAGTGTCAAGTACTCAGAAAATTTCTTTGAACTCCTAAAGGATCTTCTACCATAAGAAATCTGGTAAAATAACCAAGAAAAATTAGAAGGAAGAAAGGAGAACGTCTCTCAAGGGGAGAGTTATTTTATTCTCCTTCACCTTTTCACACAGATGAGTTAACACCAATAAAGTTCTTGATATATTAAAGATGATTAACCTAGATCTAGTTCACATTTAGCTTGATCTTTTAAAAATAATAATGCAATAACGTCACACATTTTAAAAGCACAAGAACTTACTTTTTGTGATGAGTATGCTACTTGCCCTTCAAACTCCTGCACTAATCCTGGTATCAAGCACCCATTTTCCAGTCATCAGAGAAATTACCTCTGAGCTTCAGACTCAACCACAACTCTGCACTTTTGTCTGTTTCAGCATATAATGACAAGATTGTGGCATTTCTTCGCCAACCAAACATTTTTGAAATGTTGCAAGAACGTCAGCCAAGTTTGGCAAGAAACCACGCACTCAGGTAGGGTTCATCCCTGACTCCTGGAACTCCAGGTCTTTTCAGCTGCTTTTCCAGGTGGGAAAACAGCTCTATTGAGAGAACAGATGCTTATGATGCATTTTATTCATACACTTAAATAACAATGCAAATCCTCATAATGAAAGGTCTGGGACATTCCAGTGTTCTGGGGATTAGAACAATCAGAGACATTCGTGTTGTCAGGTTACGTAATGTTTATACAGTGCTAAAATGATTTCCATTGATTTGGAGGGAAGCAACAAAATTTCATTCGCTTACATTTTTTATGTAAAACACTGTATAAATTATCTTTAGTTTTAAAATGTGATTCTTTAATAGTAAAAGAAATATTGAGTGAATATATTCAAAACCAAACAGAAAAGGTATCCTATGTGATCTAGCTACTTAAATGCTGTTATACATGAGGTTGATTTTAAACAAGTGTCTCTGAAACTGTATCACTTCCTTTGGAAGGGATATTCACTTAAAGTGATAAAAAGAGAAAATATCTATGAACTTCCATCTTGTTTTCTCATGAAGATAATCAATCATCTTTTTCCTTCCGTATACTATTCAGTGTTTCAAAGACTAGAGATGTGAGAATGTGTCCCCTTGGATCTCCAATTCTTACTCCAACACGTAGGGACAATTAATGAAGGCAAACTATTCAATCCTCTGCCCCTGGTCTTCTTATCACTGATGTGGAGGTCACAGTGTGAACATGGAGATGCTTGAATGAGGATGTGTGTAAAGGATTAGGCAGGGTGATCATGGATCCAGTCAATGACTGTCTTTAGCTCTTTCCTTCCCACTTGGTTCAGTCTTCTGAAAATGGCTGACACTTGTAATACTCTGACTTCCTTGCACATCCAAATGTTCAGCTCTCACATTCTCTCTGCCACCCTTCTTCCTGCTTCTCTCTGCCATGGCACAACTTTGGGTCCTCATCATTTTTCTCCTGGACTTTGCAGGAGTCTCTCATAAGATATCCCCTATCATACCTTCTCATTTGAGATGCATAGATCAAGTTATGCTTCACTGCCCTTTGGAAACTTCTACAGTTCTCATTGTGTATAAAATAAAGTCATGATTTCTAATCATAATATCCATGTTCTACAAAGTGTGGCCCTGACCTAACTCTTCATCCAGTGCTAAGCTTTTTCCTCCCAGCATCTTCCACCTTTTCCAAGCAGTCTGGATTTCCTCTTGCCTCTGCTTTTCCTGAAATGGCTTATTTTTAAGGACATCTCATCACATTTTAAAGACAGTTCAAATGCAGAAATCCACTGGTCTGAGTAGACCAAGATTTCTTTTTGTCTTGCTTTGATGGCGTTCTTTTTGTTTGTAAGGTTCTCTAAATTTTTTTTTTATGGTTTGTGGGTTTGTTAGATCTCATGTATTCCATCACATCAGCTCTTTACAGCAGGGTCTCTGTGTTCCCCATGTTTGTACCCTGTCTGCCCCAGCAGATCCTGTTCTCTACCTTGAAGATAGGAAACACAACTTTTAGGGTGAATGAGAGATCTTTTTTATGAATGCATGAACTTCAGCTTGAAGAGTTGTCACTTGTCACTTATGTTCAACTTGTAAGGATTACCTGTCCATGTCTCACTAAAGTGCCATGATGGAAGGCAGTGTCATAGTCTCTATTTATTTATTTGAAAGTCAGAGTTACACAGAGAGAGAGAGAGGCAGAGAGGCAAGGGAGAGGGGGGAGGTCTTGCATATGCTGGATCACTCCCCAACTGGCCACAAATGCCGAAGCCAGGAGCCAGCATCTTCTTCCGGGTCTCCCATGAGGGTACAAGGGCCCAAGGACTTGGGCCATCTTCCACTGCTTTCCCAGACCATAGCAGAGAGCTGGCTCAGAAATGGTGCAGCTGGGACTCGAACCACTGCCCTTATGGGATGCTGGCACTGCAGATGGCAGCTTTTCCTGCTATGCCACAGTGCCAACCCCACCAGGTGCTCTTGACTCATATGGTACATAACAACTTAAGGGAATTTTCCAGGGGGTTCTATTACTTGCAGGGTTTCTGACCCATTGCTGCTCTTGAGCATTTTTTGTTACTGATCGTAATGAGTTCATTGCTTACTTTTTGGAGGAATTAGAACTTACTAAAGTATTGGAGTCTCATTTTAATCTTTCAAAAAGTTTTTAAATAAAGTAATCTTCTGTGTAAAAGAGCAGAATACATTTCCAGCAGGAAGTAAACTGTTTTCAAATCCCATTGTGTAATGCCACATTATGGCAAAATCCAGGAAACCTGAAGGGCTTTGTGGCAGTGTAGAAGTGCACAATTATGATTTTACAGAGCTGCTGTGACTTGAAATTAGGGCATTTTGGAGTCAGAAGAACCTTGGAAATTTTCTAGTATAGAAACTAATGATTTCTTAAGATCATAGACTCCTTTGAGAATCTGATGAAAGCTTATAGACTCTCCTCCACATATAAATGTACATTTTTAAATTTAATTTCTTTTTTTCTTTTTTTAACTTTTATTTAGTAAATATAATTTTCCAAAGTACAGTTTATAGATTACAATGGCTTCCCCCCCCCATAACTTCCTTCCCACCCACATCCCTCCCATCTCCCACTCCCTCTCCCATTCCATTCACATCAAGATTCATTTTCAATTATCTTTTTTTTTATTTTATTTTTTTGACAGGCAGAGTGGACAGTGAGACAGAGAGAGAGGAAGGTCTTCCTTTGCTGTTGGTTCACCCTCCAATGGCCGCCGCAGCCGGCGCACCACGCTGATCCGAAGCCAGGAGCCAGGTGCTTATCCTGGTCTTCCATGCGAGTGCAGGACCCAAGCACTTGGGCCATCCTCCACTGCACTCCCTGGCCACAGCAGAGAGCTGACCTGGAAGTGGGGCAACCGGGACAGAATCCAGCGCCCCGACTGGGACTAGAACCCGGTGTGCCAGCGCCGCAAGGTGGAGGATTAGCCTAGCGAGCCGTGGCACTAGCCCATTTTCAATTATCTTTATATACAGATCGATTTAGTGTATATTAAGTAAAGATTTCATCAGTTTGCACCCACACAGAACATAAAGTGTAAAATACTGTTTGAGTACTAGTTATAGCATTACTTCACACTGGACAACACATTAAGGACAGAGATCCCACGTAAGGAGTAAGTGCACAGTGACTCCTGTTGTTGACTTAACAATTTGACACTCTTGTTTATGGCATCAGAAATCTCCCTAGGCTCTAGTCATGAGTTTCCAAGGCTAAGGAAGCCTCTTGAGTTCGCTGACTCTGATCTTATTTAGACAAGGTCGTAGTCAAAGTGGAAGTTCTCTCCTCCCTTCAGAGAAAGGTACCTCCTTCTTTGATGGCCCGTTCTTTCCACTGGGATCTCACTTGCAGAGACCTTTCATTTAGGTGTTTGGGTTTTTTTTGTTTTGTTTTGTTTTATTTTTTTTTGTTGTTTTGTTTTGTTTTTGTTTTTGTTTTTTTCTGCCCGAGTATCTTGGTTTTCCATGCCTAAAATACTCTCATGGGCTCTTCAGCCAGATCCGAATGCCTTAAGGGCTGATTCTGAGGCCAGAGTGCTGTTTAGGACATCTGCCATTCTATGAGTCTGCTGTGTATCCCACTTCCTATGTTGGATCATTCTCTCCCTTTTTGATTCTATCAGTTAGTATTTGCAGACACTAGTCTTGTTTGTGTGATCCCTTTGACTCTTAGACCTATCAGTGTGATCAATTGTGAATTGAAATTGATCACTTGGACTAGTGAGATGGCATTGGTACATGCAATCTTGATGGAATTATATTGGAATCCCTTGGCACATTTCTAACTCCACCATTTGGGGAAAGTCCGATTGAGCATGTCCCAAATTGTACATCTCCTCCCTCTCTTATTCCCACTCTTATATTTAATAGGGATCACTTTTCAGTTAAATTTCAACACCTAAGAATAAATGTGTGTTGATTACAGAGTTCAACCAATAGTATTAACTATAACAAAAAAATGCTAAAAGGGATAAAGTATTAAATTGTACATCAACAGTCAGGACAAGGGCTAATCAAGTTCAGTTAATGGAAAAATAAGGAAAATTGTGGACTCTGTGTTAAAAGCCTAAGTATTTCATCAAAAGCAGAAGCTAAGGGGGCAGGCACTTAGTACAGCAGTTAAACATCACTTGGGACATATACCTCCTATATCAGAGTGCTTGGATTTGAGTCTCCACTCTACCTCTGATTTAGTGTCCTGATAATGTGCACTCCAGGAAGCAGCAGTGATGGCTCATGTACTAGGGCCCCTGCTACCATGGGAGACCTGGCTTTAGTCCCTGGCTCCTGACTTTGGCTTGGCCTGGCCATGGCTGTGGCAGGCATTTAGATGGAAACAGATGGAAGATCTGTGTGTGTGTGTGTGTGCACGTGCACATGTGTGGCTTTCAAGTTAAATGGAAATAAATGAGTAAAAATGTCTTTAAAAATGTTTTTAAAACTAGAAGCTAAATATCATGATCTTATCAGTATATATTATGTTAAAATTTTTTAATAAAAAAAAAACCCTTGAGAATATTCATTCATTCATTCATATTTATTTGAAAGACAGAGAGACAGAGAAGGATGTGAGTGTCTCAAATGGTGTCTTAACACTGTGCCAAATGCCTGCCCCATGTGGAATACTTTTTTAAATAAATTAAAATTATTTTTTAAGAACAAAAACAAAACAGAAGGCCGTCAATGACTACCAGAAAATGACTCTGAGGCCATGAAACCAAAAAGAAGGATGACAGCAAGAAGCTGCTCTTCAGGGAGTGAAACTCAAGAGAACTGGGAAGTCAGGCACTGCCCCCCTTGACCGGGCCTTGCCTTGCTCCCTGACTGTAACGTGAGGGCGGTCAGATCCATGTTCAAGGTCAAAGAGTTTAAATGCAAGCCTCTCCCCAGAGCTCTGCCTGCGGAACTCACCCACTTCCTCTGAATTCCCCAACTGGAGTCTGTGACCTCTGTTCTACCGTTGCTGTGATCAGAGAGGCATGGAGTCTGTCCAGAGATCTGGTTTCTGGATTAGAAGGTAGAGGGTAACTTCTCAGAAAACTGTGTTCAGCAGACAGCAGCGAATCATAAGGAAGCCACATGTGGAGGGGAAAGTGGAGCCACAAAGCCCTAAGGTTAATGACATCTGTTATGATTAAAAGACATGGTAGCAGTTGCAATTCGTTCACTCTCTCCTTCAATGAGTGCTTTTATTGTCCAACTATTCCTAATCAAGATTGTTTTAGATGTAGACACTACTCTCATGGAATTTAGAATTATCAAACGAGACAGATAGCAAACAAGTTTTGAACTTTCTTTTTTTTTTTTTTTTTTAAATACAAATCTGTAGCTACATAAAGTGTTAAGTACCATGAGGGACGTGATCAGAATTCAGTGATGACAGTCAATGCAGTGGTGCAGGTCAAGAGGACTTCCATCCTGAACAGAATCAGAGGGAGGCTTTTCCAAGTAAAGGTTACGTACGCTAAAACCTGAAGTACGAGAAGGAGTTGTCCTGAAATGCGAAGTGGAGGTCAGAGAGAGAGTGTGCAAAAGCCCTGAGGTGGGATAAGCTTAATGCCAGTGAAGAATAAAGAAAGCCAGTGTGGCTCAAAGGTAGATTGGGAGGGGTAACAGCAAGCCTGTCAAAGTTGTAAAGCTATGCCTTATCAGCAATGGGAAGGAGGTGGAATTTTTATTTGAAATACAATTTTATTTGAGAAGCAACTCAGGTGCTCTCAGCAGGAAAGAAATAATATATCTTTGCTTTTGATGATTGTTTGGCTGTTCTATGTAACACAGATCAACTGGAGGACAGGATAAGATGGGATGGGGGATAAGTAGGAGACAGCCATATTAATCTGCCTGAGAGATGATGGTTATGAATGGGGAGGAGAAAGCAGCTCATGGTGATGTTATGAATGCAAAAATAATATGAGCTGATGACAGCTTGAAAGTAAGGGGTAATGACTAGAAAGCACTTAAGAAAGACAGCCAGTTGGGGGCCAGTGCTGTAGCATCTGTGGCATTGGCATCCTATGCAGGCACTGGTTTGTGTCCCTGGTGTTCCTCTTCTGATCCAGCTCCCAGCTTATGGCCTGGGGAAGAAGTAGAAGATGACCCAAGTGCTTGGGCCCCAGAACTCACACAGGAGGCCTGGCTCCTGGCTCTGATTGGCCTAGTTCCAACTGTTGTGGCCATTTAAGGAGTGAACCAGTGGCTGGAAGACCTTTCTCTCTGTTTCTCCCTTTCTCTGTCTACAACTCTACTTCTCAAATAAATAAATAAAATCTTTAAAAAATGAAAGACAGCCAGACTTGGGCAGGTAAATGAATCATGGGGTCATTTACAGACAGGAAAGTGTGGAGGGGAAACTGGCTTAAGTAAAGGACCAAAGTCAAGGATTTCATTTGAGATCACCAGGGGAGATGTCAAGATTCCAGTAGCAGGTGGTTCTGCACGTGTGATCTCTAAGTTTTCCTGGTGACCGGGGATTATATGTAGGAGAGACAGTGGGAGTTCTCACCCTTGGATTTCATCCCCAGTTCTCAGTACCCTTGTGGCAGAGTCTCAGGGCTTCTGGAGGTCCCCACACCACTGATCTGCTTGAGGTGCTCATGGGCATGAAAGAGGGTATAATGGCTGACTGACAGCCATGAGAACTCTTGGGAAGCTGTGCTTAGAAGTGTGATGTGTGGATACAGTCCATATGGTGGTATGATGATAGGATCACTGCTTTCTGTGGCTGGAACAGCACTGCACTGCTCTGATGGGGCTGACCCTCTCTGGACTTATCTTCCAGGGACTCTGGCAATAAAGGGGACCCCTAGAATGCACTTCCCCTTTATTGCCCAGGCAGAGAGTCCAGGGGCTTACCCAGATGGACATCCCTAGGCAGCAGAATAACCTGCCCCAGGACACTTCCCCTGGGAAAGCATATACATTTAAGAGTTGTGTGTGGCACTGAAGTTGGTAAGTCAGAGGAGCAGGTTTGAGTGTGTCCTCCAAATAGGAGAACTTTTGAGGTGGTATCAGGATTTGGAGAGCAAAGACCAAGGAGAGGAAATCAAGCACACAGGTGAAGAGAGACCAGGTGGTGGGAGAAGCTGGTGTTTCAGCTCTTTGTTGGGTTTTCACTGCTCTCTGCCAAATGATGTATGGAACCCCCAAGAAACCACTGTGTTTTCACACAGGTTGGGCATCTCTAGTGCGAAAATCCCAAATGATCCCAAATTGAAAACCTTTTGAGGACCAACATGACACCCCAAGTGGAAAATCCCACACCTGAGCTCAAGTGAGGGTCACACTCAGAACACAGACACACTAAAAATACTGTGTGTCTGAGGTGCCTAGGAAACACAATGAAGTTCCCAGTTAGAATTGAATCTCATCACCAGAATGGCTTATTATGTCCATGCAAATGTTTCAAAATCCAAAGAAACCCAAAAATTTGAAACTTTTTCCAAGCATTTTGGGTGAGGGACACTGAACCTGTGACAGGATTTAGTGTGGTGGTACTTGACTGAGAAATTGGATCATAAAGCATTTCTGTTTAATCCCCTTTTGTGTATCTTTGTAGAGGTCAAAAAGTTCCCTTGCCTTGTTAAAAAAAAATCCCCACATTAAAAGGTCAAGTTGATCATATTTTTGCCTAAAAATGTTATGAAGATAAGATGCATAATCATATTTATAATAAAAAAATTAAAAAGTTTTATCTGCAGTGTTTTTGAAAATATGTTTATCTGTAAGTTATCATTGGGATAAAAAATAAATGGTATACAGAGCTCTGTATTACTTCTTATGACTACATATACATTTCAAATTATCTCAAAAGTTGTAACAGGAAAAAGAAAAAAGTTAAGTACATTTTTAAGAATCAGTTCTTCCATTTCCCCAAATTTCTGCTCTGTCTCTTCAAGAAAGGCAGGAAGCATGACTCCTCTGAAACACCTCTACGTGGACTGATTCTTGCATGTGGTGTTTGCAATGTTTGAAAAATGTCAGGAAAGTAAATTGCAAAGTGAACTTGATCCAATTAAATGCTATTTAACCATATGCTTACTCAGAATAATTTGCCAGGTTGGAGTTGGAGGTCAGTGAGTTGTAATGAACCAGGACAAGCTGACTGATCTGCGAGACTTGTCTGACCAGGAGGCCACCCAGGGAGATATTATAGATTCTCCATCAGGCAAGGCATTTCACAAGAAATCTGCCCAGTTCACTTTTTCTCCCATGGTTTCCAGTACACCAGGAGCCCGGAACACTCCCACAGCACCCCTCTGAGACATCTGACAGTCTTAGCCTTCCAAGGACCTGCTTGGCTCCTCAGCTTCTGTACCCGTGTGAGTGGAGGCAAAACCATCCCAATGGGGCATCCTGAGAGCCTGCAACAGGAGCTCAGACCACCACAAAATGCACCGTGCACCAGGACATTGCTGTGCCACTATACTGGAAGAAGAGAAGAGGGGTCAGGAACAGGTTTGGTCCTTAGCTTCTGCACTGGTAATTCTCATGTTCTTTCCCACTTTGTTCCAGGGAGAAAATCCATTACATTCGGACAGAGGGTAATCACGGGCTTGAAAAGTTGTCCTGTGATGCAGATCTAGTCATCCTACTAAGGTAAGGGGCTGAGCCAGCCACAGTCCTGGGCAGACTTCTGGGCAGTTCCCCTCCACTACAGCTACCCTGAAAGGGGCTTGCACAGAAATACCATTCATTCCAGAACATTCCAGTGGCTGCCACTGGAGGAAGGTCCTTGCCCCCATGCCGGCTGTCTGCGACTGTCTCTAGATTTACAACTGGGGAAATCCAGAGCTTCATACAGAGCTTGGTGGACACTGTTGTGGAGTTACTCAGTTTTAAAATACACTGAGAACCTACAAGCAGGATGTGTCTTTTCATCCTGCATCCAAATCTAATCATTGTTATTGTTTTGTGAAAACTGTAACTGCTATGACCCCAATTCTTGAGCACTTCCTTGGTGATGGAGAGCTAACTTTTTTTTTTACAGTCTCTTTGAAGAAGAGATTATGTCCTACGTCCCGCTGCAGGCTGCCTTCCACCCTGGGTATAGCTTCTCTCCCCGCTGTTCACCCTGTTCCTCACCTCAGAACTCCCCAGGTAACTCGGGAATCTGGCCTGATCCTGCCTGTAAGCTTCCGTGTGTGTTTCCACTCGGTGAAGGTGGGTGGAGACACACTGTGTGTCTTCTCTTCATCTCCCTCAATGTCCTGATGGAAAAAAAAAAAAACACTAAATAAAGCATCGACGCACTGCTGCTGCCTGTTTTTCTAATACCCCCAAAGCTAGGATAGGGTTTAGTGGCTTACAAAATTTAACAGACTATTTCAACACATGAGAACAATATGACAGTCAAATTTTGGCATCCACAAATAAAGTTTTATTGGAACCCAGCAATGCCTGTTTACGTAGTTTTCTATGGCAGCAGTCAGAATTAACAACAGAAACCAAGTAGCCTGCAAATCCTAAAATATTTGATCTCTGGTCCATTACAGAAAAATGTTCCCTTCCCTTGATCTAAATTGCTGTTGCATGCCAAAAGCACTATCCAAGCATTTCAAAGGGCAATGCCCTCTCTGAAACCCTCTGCTTTCTAATTCAGAATTCTATTGGATACTGGTTTCAGGAACACAATTCCTAGGGATCATTGTTATGTCTCCACAAGAATATGATACTGTTCCCCAAATTTTCTTTATGTATGAGGATGAACTTACTCATGATACAATTATTGGGAGTCACTTTCTTTTCCAAATAAGGGTTGAGCTGTTTAGTGAAAAAAATATGTTTCCTGGAGTTACCCAGATAATTAGCTTAGGTCAAATCCGTACCCCCAAACTTAATCTAGATATTGGAAAGTTTTCCCCTTTTTATTTGGCTTGCATTTCCACATTATTGTAGGTTTATATGGTAAACTCAAATTTCATTTTGTAACTGTAAAAATGAAAAATGATAGTTTCAAAAATCTAGGAACTTCCTATCTCCTTCCCTGTAGGGTCAGAGTCTAAACTTGACATTTGAAGCCATGGGGAAAGTCAGATGAGAAAGAACTTAGCAGTGCACTCTGGCTTTCAGTAGGAGGGTCTTCTTTGGATTTAGTATCACTTAGAACTTCCATAAGTCTCCAGAACTAGAATAGTTCTTAGTTTAGTTTCTCCAAGTTGTGTCAGTCAGAACTTTCTTAGAGGAAGGTCTGCTAGTTGCTAAAATCTGTTTTTGAGACAGTATATCCTTGCCGTCACTTCCTCCAAAAAAGTTAAGGAAATGTCCAGCTGCTACCTCTAGCATATGACATAGCTGAGGTCCCATTGCCTGTGATGAAGACAACCAGAGCTTTATCAAGCGAGCATCAGGAAAACCAAGCATTAAAAGAGCACCCAGAGCGACCTGCTTTTGGAGAATAGAGCCTTCCATTTTGGGGGAGCTATTTCTCTGCACGATAACCTACCAGATGTATAGAGTGACCCTGCATGCAAACACGCCAACCTTTGGTCAACAACCGTAGGGAGTAGTGCATGATTTTAACATCTCTGTATGAGAGCAGTTCATATTACAAATAAATAAGAATGAAGAGTTACTTGCTAAATGGGAGTTATTTGGATAACTTATATGAGGGCACTTTTAAAAGTTCACTGAAAACAGACTTTAAAGATGTTTATGTTGGTGTAACAGAAAATTGAAATTCACATTTTTCCATGAACTTTTTGAAGACCTCACTTATGTATGAATTTCAATTTTTTGCACCAAAATAAACTTATCTTGTACTTATATTTTCTTTGAAGCACCCTTGTTTAAAAGGAATCAAATTTCTTGGTAAAGACATTATTGATTCCATGAATCCCAATAGTCATCTAATTCATTTTGACAAATTACTTAATGCCTTATTCTCTGACTTTGATGACAAGGTCTTAGATTATGTAATCCAAATACTCTTGATGTTAAATTTTACAATTCTTCTTAACCTAGGCTTTATGAAATTCATCTAGGCACCAAAGTGATGAATCATAGAAGTTTATTCTGAAGTACTTTGTAAAGTATCGGTTATTAGGAAAATGCACAGTCATGAGAATGGTAGTAGTTCCAGCAGTAGTAAAAGCCATAATATAAAATAAACTATAATCTGCTAAAAAGAAATTATGCCTGCACTTGCAGACTGGTATTCTAGTTCCATCTCTATCCTGACATCTGGCATTTTGCCAAGGCTGCTGCTTTCAAGTGGTGGATGTTGGTTCCTTCCCATCCCACATGTTATAGGGCCCCTAGTGCTTCCTGGTTTATACCACCCAGCTGCATGTCCTCAACCCGTCTCCCAGTTACCATCAGCTACTCACCTTTTTCTTATTCTCAGAGACTGTGCGCCTGTCTCATAGCCATCTCCTTCCTAAGCAAGCCCTTCCATCATCTTTGAATACCCATAAGGACATTCATTCTGTCCTCTGCCTTTCCCATGGCTGGACTTCCTTATCTTCAGTGATCTTCACCTCCTCCTCCTCAAATACTTGTTCCTATCACCCCATTCCCAACCTTCTTGTCATCTCTAAAATCCCCAATTCAAGCACCTTTTTCCTCCCAATATGCTTACTATCCCTATGACCTTCCTTTGGCTTCCACAGGGCCTCCACTTCATGGAATGCTCTCTTGTCATCTTTCTCCTACCCAGCATAAATTCTGTGGTTCCTCATTGTAGTAATATCCTTACCAACGCCCTGAACTCTCCTGATCATAAACATTTTATTTGCAACCCTGGGCAAAACTCTACCCGTAGATAAACCATCCAATCTACTTCTTCCACATCTACAGACACTCTTGGGCAGAAGTCACTGGACAGGGCTGATTGTTAATTATAGATTCATCATCTCTCACCTTATATGAACCTTGAACACCCAAAAGAAAATTTTAGCACATTTCTTTCATCTTTTCTATTATTTCAAATATTCTGCTCCCTCCAAGCCTAAAATCCCTAGTGTCCCTCTTCTCTCCTAACAAATGTCATTCTAATTTACTCCTCCGAGAAAACGGAGGCCACCAAGCAAAAACTTTCTCAGATGCTTCAGGAAGCATCTGAGACACGTCTTCATGCATCTACTTCTGTGGCTGTTCTTGTGGCCTCTTCCTACAATCCCCAAGGCTCACTCCCAGATTTCTTTCTCTTCTTTAAACTCTTCACCTTCCCCACAAATTAATTCTTTTTCCACTGTTGCCCATTTCAATGAATGATTCCACAGCTCATTCAGTTACAAAATCTGAAAATTATCTCTTCACTAACTATATCTAATTTACTGCCCCCTAAATACATCTCTGATCTGTCCACTTTTCATCTCCACTGCACTGACACAAGCCTATTCCAGTTTGGACTTTACAAATCCACCTTGGTCATCTCCAGTTTTCTCTCTCTATGGCTGGAAGATAGATGTTTTCATAACACAGGTCAAATCATGCCAGTATGACTTCCTTTTACACTTAGCACAAAATAAAATTGCTCACCAGACTGGACATTTTTCTGTTGGTGTGGCTCTTGTCCACCTCTCAAGCTTTGTTTTGGCATCACCTTGTTCTCACACCCTGTATACCAGAAAAACTAGAACAGCACTGTCCATTCTGCCACAGGACTTTTGTATATTCCGTACTTTCCCTGCATTTTTCTCTCAGCTCATCTCTTCTCTTAGTTGAAGGTAAGTCTTTCCTGACCCATTCAATCAAACTCATGACTTCTTACTCTTCAGGTCTTCCCCAGGGAAGCCTTCTTGGCTTTGTCCATCATGTTCTGATACTTCAAAGTACTGGGTTCCCTTCTTTCATGGATAGCAGTCATCTCAACTTGTAATTATATACTCATTTCTATGAGTTTACAGGTATAAATCTCCAGGTTGTAAGCTTAGTAACCTATAAAAATATTTAATGCATAGGCCATGATTCTGGCCAACTGTAAAACCTGGACAATAATATTATACATTTCATATCCTTTTCCATTAAAGGGTGTATGGAGATAGTAAAGACTTTACAAAGTACTATATATGATACAGAAACTCTCCTCTATACAAAGTTAAGAATTATTATTATTGTAAAACTTGCAGTTAAGATGCATGATAACCTAATATAAAGCCCTAAATGCCCTGGGCCTAAGTGCACTGATATACTTATTTTACCATTAATATCAAAACAGAAGCATGACAACCACATAATATTAAAGCCCCAGTTGCCTGCCTGTAGTTTCAGTAACTTCTTCCAGCAGCTTACAAGAAAAGTTAGCCTAGTTCAGTTTGTGTTCATGGTTTTAGATTAAGTGCAGTCAAGCCACGATAATGCTTACCCAGGTACTTTTAAAAGAAATAAGTACAGCTTAAAATATGTGGAATGGCAACCATGTTTATTCCAGTCAGAAGTTATTTTTCTCTTTAGTTTATGATTTCTGTTTATTATAAAAGAAACTGAATGGATGACAGAAATGAAGAGAAATTCCTTAGAAGAGGAGGAACATGAAGACACAGGAATGTGCTTCTGGTGGGCACTTGATCATCCCTTGCTCTGTGTATTTGTTCTTGGGTAAAGCGTGGTGACCTACAGGCCTGTGTGCTTCTTCCTGCAGGTTTACAGAGAGCCAGTGCGAGAGCCCCTTCACCATACCGGAGAGACTTTGAGGCCAAGCTCCGCAATTTCTACCGAAAACTAGAAGCCAAAGGATTTGGTCAGGGTCCAGGGAAAATTAAGTGAGTGTTCCAGTGCTTGGCAATTAATACAGATGGTAGATTTTTCTGTCTCTTAAATCATTAAAAAAAATTTTTTTAAAGATCAAGAACCTTGGTGTGGTAGCACCTGTGGTCCAAAGGGAGTAGGAAAAGGAGTTAGGAAATTGGAAGCTAAGGAGGAAAGTAAGAAATTGGAAGGAAAGTGGGGAAGGAGAAAGAAAAGTAGATTCCAGACAAAGATGGGCATGAAATCAGTAGTAGACCTTTTCAGAGAACAAAAAATGCAGAATTCAATAAAAGGAAAAAAAAAAAAAAAAAGAAAAAGAAAAGAACCTTATAGATCCTCTTATCCCTGGAGCAAAATTTAACTTGTTAGTCAAATTCATGTAATCTTTATAATAACTTTGTAATTGAACTCAAAGTAAAAAGTTTTTTCCTTCTGGGTTTATTATTTCCATCCTAAAAAGCCAAGCCCAAGCTCAAGAATCCAAGTTAACCTCCTATGAGTTGTTCAAAAACCATCTTCAAGTAGCTCAGTGTGATGAAGGCATCCAGTGATAGGTGTGAAAAGAGTGTTAAGCTAAGCTCATTGCCGAATGGATGGAACCTGCATCCTCCTTGGAAGTGGTGGATCTGGGCCTTGAGAGCTCGCATACAGCACTGACACCCTGAGTTCACGCCTATCACTCACCTTGCGTCTTCTTCTCAGGCTCATTATCCGACGAGATCATCTGTTGGAGGGAACCTTCAATCAGGTGATGGCCTACTCCCGGAAGGAGCTCCAGCGAAACAAGCTCTACGTGACCTTTGTTGGAGAGGAGGGGTGAGGCACCAGCAGTGTCATGCAGACACCTCAGTGTGGGCAGAGCAGAGCCCCAGGATGAGGGGAGGTTTTTCTCGGGAAGAAGCAGGGTAATTACAACCCTTGGCCCCTAACGTGATTATGAGCTTCCCAGGGATCTTTTTCTCTCCAGGTATTGCCAAGCTTTAAAAATCATGTTCTTCTAAAAACCTAAGATTAGTTGCATGCCTAAAGCCTGAGGTCACGTCATGAAAGTATAAGCCAAAAATGCAGTGCTAAGCCACTGGATCTTTATTTTGAGATGGCATACCCTTCTGAGTATCTAATCAAAAAATTCTCCCTCCTAAGTACACATATGAAGTTACATACCAGACTTCTCATATAATTTCAGTGACTTTATGGAAACCACTCACCATGGAGGACAAGACCACCTTGAAGAGCACATTGGGATGAACTTGGAAATCTTTAAAATTCTCTCTCTCCCTCTCTCTCTCTCTCTCTCTCACACACACACACACACACACGAGACATGCACTATTGCAGAAAACTCCTTTACACCTCATATAACAAAGGTCTTAATTCTAATGGACCAGCTGTGTGTGTGCTTTTCTGTAGATGTTAGATGAACAGAAATAAAAAGGTTAAGGAAACTTGCTGTCAGAGTCCATTCATGGACATCTGGCTAAGAAACACCCCCAGACCAATTCCTGCAACTTCCCTCTCTGCTGCAAGTTAAATCAGTGGAATCCACTCTAAAGAACAGAGAAGCTGGTGCTCTGCCCAGATCCCAACTCCAAAGGAGCACACTAGAATCTGGATAAGAGACAGATCCCCCACTTCCGGGCACATAATGAGTTTCCTGGTCCTCTGCTTCCTTTGCAGCCTGGACTACAGTGGTCCTTCTCGAGAGTTCTTCTTCCTTTTGTCTCAGGAGCTCTTCAACCCCTACTATGGACTCTTTGAGTACTCTGCAAATGATACCTACACAGTGCAGATCAGCCCCATGTCTGCATTTGTAGAAAACCATCTCGAATGGTAAGATCTATCATTTTCACTTTCTTACGTTTGAATGTCTGGTCTTTCCTAATCAGAAGTTGGCAGCATTTCTGTAAGGCCACTCGCATTCAGAGCAGTGTGCCAGTGTTATAAGGGGATAATAAGAGGGAATAACAGATTCTTTTTTAGCAGGAAGAACCTGTTAATTTTCATTAAAAAACGCAAGATAAATTACTAAAGACAGATAATGTATCAATTGAAAATTGATGTGAGGTAATTTCCTACTGAGAAAACATGGAGATAAGTAAACATAGGTTCATGAATGTTGACAATTTTACTAATATCATGAGTAACCTGTGGAGGTTCCTTGGAGGTATGTGTGGATTTGAAATTTTTTGGCCTTGGACCAATAGCTTTAAAGTGTGTGTTGGCTTCTGCATCTTCCAATAAAATAAGTCTCCTGGGTCAGTGATGTCTAATCATCCATCTGACTTGAAAATCCTTATCTCTTGGTTGTCTGCTATTGAGTGGCATTCTATTGCCACTTATTGTTGTGGGTAAAAAATTAGGTCTTAGTTAATTTTGTGCAACTTTGTGGACAAGATATCTTAGATGTAGGTTCTAGAAATTTCCAGAAATCTGCACAGGACACCTAGGATGTTTGTACTCTCCTACTGTGTTACGACCATGCGTGATCTGAAAATTATCCCTGCTCTGACTGTAAGAGTTCCAATCCACGTTCCTGCTGTCAGGATTAAAATGAGTCCAGAGACTGCTAACATGGGTTTTCCTCCAACAAGGCTTGATCAGGCTGCTATTGAAGGGGACAGTTGTGGCAATACCTGCTTAGAGCCAAGTCCCTGTAGTCTGGTTATCAGCCTCAGTATAACCTACTCTTCCTAAGGCTTTCAGATAGTGGAACATACATTCTCCCAAGACTCTTATGGCTCTAAAGGAGCTATGATGAAGTATGTCCACACAACTGTTTAGCATAAGATGAAGCAAAATTTTACCCTTGTTACTCCTTTTCCTCTTAACTTGTCAGTAAGTAGCTGATGAAGCTCATGAGGCAGAAACACACAGGTGCAGCACACAAGCTACTGTGGAAGGGATTTGTGGCCCTGAGTATCAGCTCTGACGTAGGAGACATTCAGGCAGATCCATTCTGACAGAGTGACCCATGAAATGAGAATATAATAATGTACACAGATTAATCATAGCATAATCCCTCATGAAATTTAAAATGATGTCTTAGAGGTCACAAATTAAAATCGGCAACTAATAAAGAAAAATTTTCACCACATAGGATACCAGGTAGCACCATGGTAGATGTTGTGGGGAATACGTGTAATTTAACAGTTATAACTTAAGTCGTTCTCTGTGCAGGGAGAACACAGAGATGAGATGAGCAGGGTCTCTTCCTTCATGGAGTGGTAGTGGGAGGACCACATGCATAAATCAACAGTTACAAAATAATGTTTTAAATGCTAAGTCATCTATACATATGTGTGTGTGAACCTGAGATACATATATTTAATATATATATATACAGATGCTCCTCAAATGACAATGGAATGACTTCCCAATAAACCCATCAGAAGCTGAAAATGTGCATAGCAAATCCATTTAACACACCTAACCTGCCATATATCCTAGTACCCCTCATGATGGTGGTGCTGGCTGGGAATTCTGCTCACTGCTGCTCTCAGCACTGTGCAAGAAAATCCTATCATGTATCACCACCCTGGGGAACAAATCCAAACTCAAAATTCAAAGCACTATATCTACAGAATATCTATCACTTTCACACTATCTGTAAAGTCAAAGAATCATAAGCCAAAAAACATTAAGTCAGAGGCCGTCTGCATGTGTTGAACTGCATTCAATGGCATGGGAAAACACTTTGCTTTGCCCATTGTACATAGTAAGGAGTGGAGCTCATGAGTCTTCAAGAAGTGAGGATGTGAGAAGAGGCTGGAGATAGGATGGGAATCAGATGGTCAGTCACAGCACCTGTGAAGAGTACTGTAACTGGATTTGTGATTTTAGGTAGTTAATCTTGCCATAGATTGGGGGATACATTTCAGTATGTAATACTGGAAAAAGAGCCCAGCTGTGAAATAGCTGATAAGTCAACCAGAAAGATAAAGGGTCAAAACTAAGTTAGAGACAGTGCCAGGGAAGAAGGGACCGACTTCAGGGACAGCTCAGAGGGAAAGAAAACCGATGAAGCTGGTTCACTGACCAAATGTTAAGGAGAGAGAGAGAAAGAAAGAAGGAATAAGTATAAGGGTTTTGTTTGCACAATTGGGTGGATGATGTTTTTAACTGTGATAAATTAAACAGAGTAGAAGATATTTAGAAGAAAGATGAAGCATTCAGTCTGAAATAAGAGTTTTCAGTGTCTGTGATAAATATATTTGTCATAACTGGGACGATGGCCCTGGGTAGCAGAACAGCTGGGCAGGAAATTGAAACTTGAGAGACACCAACACATGCAAGGTGGCTCAGTTGTGGGAAATGAGACCACTCAGAGCTTGAGCAGATGGTGAGCAGAGCCGAGTCTCATGGCACATGTGTGGGTGATGCTGACTTGTCGAGGGTGGGCAGAGCAGAAGAGTCCATGTGGCAAGCTAAGAAGGAATGGCCAGAGAACTCAGGGCCTGGAAGAATGTGATGAATGAAAAAGGAGCCTTGGGATTGGCAGAAGAGAAGCTACTTTGGTGAAGTGAAACAGAGGCTAGAGCATGTGTTTCAGAAACAGAATGGGGAGAACAGATTGGGAGGTTGGAGCTCAGGACTTCCAGAGAGACAGGAGGACAGTTGACCAAGGAAGCACATTTTGGATGATGGCTGAAGATAAGCACCAAGGTGGGATGCTTGGTACTCAGCCTTCTGAAGGAAACGGTAGAGTTAAGTGCATTTCAGCAGTTATGAAACAAGACCACAAGTAGAGGTTTAATGGGAAGCATGAAGACACACTGGGCCCGTGACCTGCACATGTGCTGGACCACCTACTTGAGTCACTTTCTGATGTGAAGGTGCCTCCCCGGCTGCCCTGCCCCCTACTCTCCACCTGGCTCTGTTGCTTTCCATTCATCCGTGCCTTAACAGGCTGCCAAAGCTCTGTGGGAGTGTCAGTTAAACTTCACTGTGTCAGGAAGGGAATTGTGTGCTACAGGGATCTTGCAAGAATTAGCTGAGCTTTCTGAACGGATTCCTTACAAGGGCTCAGCAGTGCCAGCCCTTGAGGTGCTTGTTACCTGCTGTCCCCGTTGCTTGAGTACGTGACCCCCTGTGTGGGCTCACAGGCTGTCATTCACTGGTGTTCTCCACGTTGAGAATATTTGCTGTGCGTCCTGTAAACAAAGTCACATGGGGGTTTCTGACCTGAACAGCAATCTAAATGGAGCTCGCGTGGATAAGAGTTTCCTCTCAGTGTTGCATGCTGGGTGGCACATTGTTAGGAAGTGGGCAGGAGACCCCCCTCTTATGTGAGAAAGAAGCTCTGACACCTCGGTCCCCAGAGTCCTCAGCTGGTAGAAAAGCCTGGAATGCAGAGTAATGTCGTGCATGTTCGTGGGGGAAAATACCAGATCGTGCCCTAAGTCTCCATGTGGAGCTGGACTGTTCTCTTACCAGTGCCTCAGAGTTCCTGAGAAAGGAAAACTGGTTTTCTTCCCATAGTCACAGCCACGGTCATGGTCACTGCCGTGACTGAGGGAACTGGAGTCACCAGTGGAGTCTTCTTTACATTTGCAAGGGAAGCTCTTGATTGGGCTTTGGGGAATCTGAACAAAACCATGATTCTGGAGTCACTACGTTTGCTTATTCTCATAAAGCCACGTATGCCTTATGGCCAAGAAAACTCTCAGACTTTGCATCCCATGTGCCCCTGAGTGCTTGTTAAGCTTTTTTTTTTTACCAAGAATTTAGTGAAGGACACTTAGGATAGCTCGGCTCTGGATGAAATAAGTAGCTCTGGATCTTGCTGGGGTGCCTGTCTGCGGATCTGTTGCTAACACTCCTGGAACCATGAAGCCCGTGAGACTGAGAAAACCAGAATTCTGAATTCTCAAATGCAATCATCCACAATATGCTGCCGCTGGAAGCTTTTTTTTTTTCTTTTGGAAGGCAGAGGGAAAGATGTTCAGTCTGCTGGTTCACTCCTCATATACCCAAAACAGCCAGTGCTGCACCAGGTCAAAGCTAGGAGCCTGGAATTCAATCCAGGTCTCCCACATGGTGGCAGAGACCCAAGTACTTGAGCCTCCACCTGCTTCCTCCCAGGGTGGACATTAGTAGGAAGCTGGAAGAAGAAGCAGATGTCGGCCTTGGACACAGGCACTCAGGCAGACTTGAAATACGGGCATCCCAAGTGGCAACAGCAACCACACCAAATACTACCCCACTACATGTTCCTTAACCTCCTGCAGGGTGGGCATGGCTACTGCTAATCCATCTCCTACATGAGGCCCTACTTCCTGCCTTGCTCCATGGAATTCCATCATGTGATTCACATGGGCCACAAGGGAGATGATAATCATCATAGTGTATACGTCACTAATAAGAAAACAAGCCAGGGGCCGGTGCGCGGCTCAATAGGCTAATCCTCCGCCTGCGGCGCCAGCACACCGGGTTCTAGTCCCAGTTGGGGCACCGGATTCTGTCCTGGTTGCTCCTCTTCCAGGCAAGCTCTCTGCTGTGGCCCGGGAGTGCAGTGGAGGATGGCCCAAGTCCTTGGGCCCTGCACCCACATGGGAGACCAGGAGAAGCACCTGGCTCCTGCCTTTGGACCAGCGTGGTGTGCCGGCCGCAGCGCGCCGGCCACAGCACGCTGGCTGCAGCGGCCATTGAAGGGTGAACCAATGGTAAAGGAAGACCTTTCTCTCTGTCTCTCTCTCTCTCTCACTGTCCACTCTGCCTGTAAAAAGAAAAAAAAAAAAAAAAAAAAAGCAGGGGCTGGAGCTGTGGCATAGTAGGTAAAGCCCCTGCCTGTATTGCTAGCATCCCATGTGGGCACCAGTTTGAGTCCCAGCTGCTCCACTTCTGATCCAGCTCTCTGCTATAGCCTAAGAAAGCAATAGAGGATGGCCCAAGTCCTTGGGCCCCTGCACCCATGTGGGAGACCCAGAAGAAGCTCCTGGCTCCTGGCTTCGGATAGGCACAGTTCCGGCTGTTGCAGCCAATTAAGTGAACCAGCAGATGGAAGACTCTCTCTCTCTCTCTTTCTTTCCCTCCCTCCCTCCCTCTCTCTCTCTCTCTTTCTATCTCCCTGTAACTCTGGCTTTCAAATAAATAAATCTTTTAAAAATTTCACTCTGTCTCTTTAAACAAACAAAAAAATAGAAAACAAGCAGACCAAAAGATTACAGGGCTTATCACGGCCACAGCCCTGACTTTGTAAAGCTGGAAATTGTTATTGATGCAGGACAAGCCAGGACAGGATTCAGCCTGGGAGGATGAGTGACATGTATGTATTTATGGTCCCCACTCTCTTCCTCTTCATTCTAGAAACAAAATAAACATGACGTGGCCGGCGCCGCGGCTCACTAGGCTAATCCCCCACCTTGTGGCGTCGGCACACCGGGTTCTAGTCCCGGTTGGGGCGCCGGATTCTGTCCCGGTTGCCCCTCTTCCAGGCCAGCTCTCTGCTGTGGCCAGGGAGTGCAGTGGAGGATGGCCCAGGTGCTTGGGCCCTGCACCCCATGGGAGACCAGGAGAAGTACCTGGCTCCTGCCATCAGATCAGCGTGGTGCGCCGGCCACGGCGGCCATTGGAGGGTGAACCAACGGCAAAGGAAGACCTTTCTCTCTGTCTCTCTCTCACTGTCCACTCTGCCTGTCAAATAAATAAATAAATAAATAAATAAACAAACAAACAAACATGACTACTGGCCAGAAATAAACATGGCGAAGATGAGGCAGTTTCAAAGGGTCCGCCATCACTCAGGCTGCAGCACGGCTTGGGTATGGCTGGAGGAGGCATCTAGGCCACTGCTCATTTCCATCTTTTGCTCTGGTTCTGATTCTTCCTGCTCACTGTCTTCAGTGTCCCATACTCTAGTCAGATTTTTCTGTCTGACCTCTGGGAGCAGAGATAGTTTTATCTGTCTTACCCTAGCATAATGCCTGGCACTTCAAGATGTTCAGCCTTTCCTTGACTGTTGGATGCATAAATGGGAAGTATTCCACGTAAGAAAAAAGGGGCACAGAACAGAAAGGAGACAGGGTATGAACTTGTAGCCAGATTGAATTTATTCAAAGAAAATAAACTCGCAGAGGTCAACCAACTGCCAGTGTGCCTATAGCCCAAACACATGGCAAAGGGCCCAGACCCCAGCAGGCTGGGCCTTTTAATATCTTGGATGGGCTAGGGTTCGGGGTGGGGAGCAGTACGTGGAGGTGAGCTTCTCCATGCTGGTTCTTCGAGTTTGTCCCACTGCCTTCCAAACCTGGGAAAGAATGCAGGGGGAGAGGTGGGGAACAGTACAGGGTACAGACTTAACTGATCTCTTGAAAGAAGGCAGGGGTGGCCGGGCCGTGGCTCAATAGGCTAATCCTCTGCCTGCGGCACCAGCCCACGGGGTTCTAGTCCTGGTCAGAGCGCCGGTTCTGTCCCGGTTGCTCGTCTTCCTGTCCAGCGCTCTGCTGTGGCCTGGGAGTGCAGTGGAGGATGGCCCAAGCCCAAGTCCAAGTCCTTGGGCCCTGCACCCACATGGGAGACCAGGAGAAGCACCTGGCTCCTGGCTTCGGATCAGCGCGATGTGCCGGCCACAGTGTGCCTGCCGTAGTGGCCATTGCGGGGTGAACCAACGGAAAAAGGAAGACCTTTCTCTCTGTCTCTCTCTCTCTCACTGTCCACTCTGCCTGTCAAAAATAAAAAAATTAAAAAAATAAATAAGAAGGCAGGGGTACAAGAACCTAAAATGGCTGAGGCTATGTCCTTGTTCCATCATCCCGACTCTGAGTATAGATAAGGAGATGGGGTCTGATATAGGGTGTGGACATGGGGCAGGGATCTGATTGAGGAAGAGCAGTCTTGTGTCTTTCCTGCATGATTGCTTGGGATATAGCAGTGTTTCCCTCCTGTAGGGACTTATACATGGTAGGGATAGGAGCACTATAATCATGAGGATAAAGGGAGAAATTAGAAACATTGCCCATGGGGGAAGAGATGGCCAAAATGAGGACAAAGGGGGCAATAGGAAAGCAAGAGTCCTGTTCGTGTGCCTGGTGACCAAAAAGAAAGAACGCCCATTTTGTTTAATGTGTACGTGCCAGCAAGGAGCTGTGGGATGGAGTTAGTCTGGCCTGCTTCTAGTCCTGGGCTCCCTCCTTTCCTCCCTCTGCTTATGGAAACCCTGGCTGCTGTCAGGGGGTTGGGCAAGGGGGGAAGCTGAGTTTTTCAAGCTGAGTAGGGGTAGAGTAGGGACCTGTGGTCCAGACGGGATTCCAACAGAAGGTGGCCTCTTGAGGGGGCTGCAGCACTAGCTCACAGAACTGTCTCCATTCAGGGTTTCATGTGCATGACCAGCTACAATTTTATTGTCTGGAGTAAATGAATCTAACAAGCAGATTAAATACACAGGGTCCAAAACAAAAGACAGATCGTTATTGGAGGACCTAGAAAAGGTGCCGTCCAAATCAGGAGGGAGTTTTCCCATTGAGAAGCCAATAGAAACTGACAGGGGCTTGATAATAATCAGGTGGGCATTAAGGTCTGGCCAAGTATATAGGAAGCCCAGGCCTATCACTTCACATGGGATACTGGAATAGGCATCACAAGGGAGGTGTGAACCTCCCCAGGGGAGGCACCCTGTTGACTTCCATTACCTTGCTGGCCTGGGAGGAGAGCTGGACTGCATAGGAGGTTAGTATCAAAGAGGTGATTTCTCTAAAAGAAAATTTTCAGCTCTGCCTTGATTGTTACTGACCCTGGGCTGTGCTCCTGATGGTGGGGGTTATTTTGGAAGCTGGGCAGAGTGAAAGGCTTTTTAGCATGGGGCCAATTGGGTCTGTGGTTTTGAACCAGGAGTCCTTCAACCCCTAAGGCAGTTCCATTTCCAGTGGCCTGGCTCTTGGCAGAGCTGACAGAGCTGACAGCTGCTTGCCCAGTGGCCCAACTCCTCATATGGAAAATAGGTGCCATTTGGGGGTGGATTGTCCTCATTGGGTCTCCTTGATGGCAGAACACCGTTTAAAGCAGCCGTTGATTGGTCAGCCACCTATCCTTACCTTGCTCCTGCTGCCTCACTCTCCTCTTTCTCCTGGTCTCTGTTAAAGTAGAACACAGAGGAAGCCTTTAGGAATGTTAGCCAAGGGGGCATTCAATTCCATCCCTAATCTTGATAGCCTGAGCTGGAAATCTGTGGACATAGGCATGCTATGACAATATTCTTCCTGTGAGATAAGGTGACACCCATGAGGAAAGTTATGTCCTTCTATGTAAGACCAAACATTAAAACCAGCTTATCCAAACTGTCTTACACAAGTTCTAAACATCAAACTGTACATACTGATGGAGAGTCCTACAGGATAAAATCAGTTTTTCACCTTGAAGAGAATAGAGGAGAAATGAGGAAACAAGTCAGGCTTCCCAGATTGCTTACTGCTAATAACTTAATCCCAAACAAAACTTAGTAATTTTAATTGTCAGATAACTTACAAAAACATTTACCAAAAGGTCCAATGCCTTCCATGAATTTTAAGAGTACATATAGTTGGAAATATTTCTTGAATATCTAACACAAGCATAAGCCAATTAAAACAGAGCTCTTAATAATTTCATATGTAGATATACACTATGTACATATGTATAATACATTACAGGAAACAATAACATAATACTTTCAGTTATTAGCGAAGAGATTTTGGCTGCCACTAGACAAGATGGGGGAAAAGATAGACGAAGGCTAGGCATGGAGCATTTTTGGAGCAAAGTTGCTCAGGATTTACCACTGTTCTTGAGTTTTTCTTTGCTAGATCTACCAAATATATTACAGAAGATAGCTGGAACAGAGATTTTGTCTTCGTATGAGAGAAAATTCAGATATGAGACAGAGTAGCAGTGCAAGATGTGGCTCCATTATGTTGGGTTTTAGGATTTTAGGGTTCATTGAGCAGAGTTAGAGAAGACTTTATTTTAGGGAGGACAGAATCGGGGGTAATAAAGAGGGAGTTAGGGGCTAAGCACGCTCAGAAAAAACCGCGGTGGGGGTGTTGAAGTCAGGCTTCATTGCATTTGAACCTCAGGCGGAGTCCTTTCATACACTGCTTGTTGGGGGAGGTGCAAAGCACCACGTGGACCCTGATAAGGTGGGGGGAGAAGTGAGAAAGGCTCTCAGCAGAGTTGACACTGCAAGTTTATTTTCTTTAAATAAATTTGGTCTGGCTGCAGATTCATACACTGTCTCCTCTCTGTTCTATGCCATTTTTCTTATATTTTGGTGCCCTATGTGAGGAGGTGCCAATCTATACCTCTTTTTCTTATATTTGGTTTTCCATTTGAGGAGGAATCAATATGCACTCTTTTCCTTACATTCCTTGTGCTAGGACTGTTAAAATAGAATTTCCTTTCTTTCCATGTGCAGTCAATCACTGGAAGTACACACTTTCCTTTATGGTCTGTGGCTTTAAAGTCCTTGCGTTGTCACCGATAAATGCTTAGGGGCTTTTTTAATTTTTAAGATTCATTATGTATTTATTAAAAAGGCAATGTTTCAGAGAGGGACAGAGAGAGCTTCCATCTGCTGGTTCACTCCCCAAGTGGTGGGAACAGCCTTGGCCAAAGCCAGAAGCCTTGAATTCCAACAAGATCTCCCACACAGGCGCCAGTGGCCCAAGCACTCAGGCCTCTTCTGCAACTTTCCCAGGCACATTAGCAGGGAGCTGGATTGGAAGTGGAGCAGCCAGGACTGCAGCTGGCTCATATGCTGTGCTGGTGTTGCAGGTGCCACAATGCTAGCCTGCTTACTCTTGAGATCAGCTCAGCAGGGTGCCAGAATGCTACCGCTACAAAGGAAGGCCTCCTCCTCCTCACACAGCCCTGCTTCTGTCACAGCTCTGGGGAAGCCTCTGACACTGCGTCCATTCCCTGAAACCTGCCCTGGGACTTTGGGTACTCAAGATTCTGTCCTTCATGCTGGCTCTGTGTGAGCTTCCTATCCATGGGTATAGACACATCTATATCAAGAGCCCTGAACAACAGTGGGGCATAGTCATTCTACCTACTTCCCTTTACTTCCAGTCAGATAACGTAGTGAGAACTGTTTCACACAATAAGTAAGCTGTAAAAAAAAATTCATCTTAGTTTTTACCTTTGGCTAAAAGGACTTCATCCAATGTCAGTTTTATTACTTCTTTGGACCACTGACTTTCCAAACTAATAATGCCTCAAAGTCCATGGTGTTAACTCTCAGGCCAAGTAAGAGAGAGGACATGGAGTCGAGAGCTCTACAGGAACTGGAGCCCATAAGGGGTCTCCTACAGAAGCTGCAATCCCCCGTGGACACAGCCCCTGCCAGACCTGGCTGTGGCGAGAAGCCAGGGAACAATGCCTGTACCACTCTTCCTCCACTTGGTAGTCCCATTGACCACACCCAACCAGAACCCAGAGGGCAAAATATCTCCAGATACTGCAACCCTCATCGGTCAGCTCCCAGGCACAGAACAAGTCAGGAAAAGATAGGAAACCAATGAGGGGTAGAAGAGAGGGGAATTAAAATATAACCACAAGAGTCCATCCATTTCAGCACACTCGATCCAGCCACTAAAACCTTATCATTTGCTGAACTATATGTGTCTGCGGTATGTGTCTTTGATGACAGAAATCTTGAAATACTATTCTAAATTTCATGTCTTTATTGGATTATGGTTGTGTCATTTGCATACTGATGACATACTGATTTCATAAGATACTCTTATTCTTTTAACCTTGACTGTATTCAAGTCCCTTGAGTTACAGAAGTAATAAAATATCCATTGTGAACTGTCTGAGTATCCCAGTAACTTTTATACTTTTGTCTATCAACCTTATAACACAGATACTGAGTATTCCTACTTTGCCACAAGAGGAAAATGAGAGCTAGACGTAAACAAGTCACATAGGTACTCACAGACCAGGCAGGGATTAGAATCTAGCCACAGAATCTGGTGATGGGTTACATAAATTGTGGGAGATCAAGTATGAAAAACTAAATAGCTTAAAATGACACCAGTAATCACCTGAAATTCTACCAGAATATTACTGAAGTGCAATCAACCTGTTTATTAATGTTATCTATTTGAAAGGCAGAGAGACAGAACAAGAGACAGACAGGCAGAGATCTCCATTTTGTTGATCATCTCCCCAGATGTCTGAAAGCCCTAATTGGGCCAGGCTGAAGCCATAAGCCAGGAAAATCGCCACTGCTTTCCAAGGTGCACATTAGCAGGATGCTAGAATCAGAAGCAGAGCCAGGACTTGTATCCAGTCTGGGATACAGGTGTCCGAAGCAACATCTTAACCACTATGCCAAACACCTGCCCCAAAACAGCTTATTTTTTTAAATCAATCTATTCATTCTTTCTGTAGTGCTCTCTATTTCAAATAGCATCTCTTTATAATCTGAGTAAGTGAAGTTATGGTGTTTGTAGCCCTCAGAGCTATGACATTTGTCATGTCAACTTTTTAATATTTGCCAAAACTGTGGATTTGGAAATTTTCCACTTGTCATAAAATAATATATTTATGAAAAAATATAGATAAAAATTCCCATACATTTTGAATAGCGATATAACAACAAAACTATAAATGAATTGTGAAAAGCTCCAATTTTATTTTTACATCTACTGCAATGCATAAATGTTACAAAATATATAGATTCAAGCTGTTATGCTTAAGTAAGAAAAATTCACATTTCACCTCAAACATTCCCTTCTCTAAGGTTCTTCTCTGGGCACTAAATTGAAAAGAGCCCACCCATAACTTTCTGACTTATCCTACTTTATTTTATTAGCAGAACGTATCACTATCTGAAATAAAGTGTATGCACATATTTATAACTCATTATTGTTTGTTGCACTCCTAGCATGTAAGTCCAATGAGCCCCAAGTCTTGCCTGTACCTTTCCTAATCAGAAACTTGGCACTCAGCAAATATGTGTGGAAGGATGTGAGAAGGAGACAGGATGGATGGATGGACAAATGGGTGGACGGGACACTCAATTAAAATTCCATGCTTATGAGAGTCAATTTCATCTCAATTTTTAGTTTAGAATATTTGAGAGTCAGAAAAACAGCATGATTTTTGTTGAATGCCATTTAAGTTCCTACCAATTGGCCTCCCTCAAACCATCACTGCAAATCCTTTTTCTGTCTCAGTCGTTCTGAATAACACTTCTCCTAGAGCACATCTGAGATGCACTGAAGTTTAAACATTTGAAATAGGTGATTTTCCCTCTATGTCTCTAGGAAAAGTGCCAGAGTATCAGACAGGTTCTACTTGTTCTCAGTATTACCATGTACCATTTTAAGAAGTTGCTGTGACATGAGTCACTATTTACATAATCATCAGTAGAAGAAGAATTTTCAGAAACCAGGATTCAAATCTGAGACTGACCGTTTTTGCCAGTTGCTGTGCAACCACTAGAAGGTCTTTGTACTCATTATGTGTCTGGGGGCCGTTGTGGGGGAGGGGGATGCCAAATCTTGCCCTACCAAGGCCACAAGCAGACAGTCAGGACCTCTCAGACCAGTTCTCCAAGAGAAGCCCAAGGCTCTCTGCTAACTGAAAAACATACAGATGAACCCCCCCTGCCCTAACCCCAGCCTCTGTTCCTTTCCAGGCAGATGCACTTGGGTGGTAAAAACGTTTTTTACAGGTCGGAGGGGAGGAGAGGGGAGGAAGCTCCTTTGAGTATGTTTAGAGTTTGGCCAAGTGAGTATTAAATATAATTGTAGAGTTTTATGGAACTTAAGAAGTCCTGGGTAACATACTTTAAATATTCCTTGCCACATCTGCAGGGTCTTGAATTAGTAGGTAGAACCCACAATATTATGGGATCCCATTGGATGTCTCAGGGGTCCTGCAACTCCAGGGGCCCTCCTGACAGAAGAGCTCAGTGTGAAGTCTTGATTTGAGTCTAGGATCACATAGGCGCTCCCAGCCTACCCCATTCCCAGTGACAGTTGCTGGGTTCTTTCTCAGACACCTGCAAGACCTTGGCTAATCCTGGCTCTGCTTCTGTCTGAGTAGTCTTCCTAGTAGTATGTCTGAGCAGCTCTGAGGCAAACAGTAAGTGAAAAGTCAGCATAAAATGAGCGTGATGGTTTGGAGCTTATTCTGTTTTGTGCAGAGCCTAACATAGCTTCCTTCAGAGCTCATGACAGATTTCTAGTTGAAAAGGATGAGCTACTTAGGTAATTATACCAGTGTGACTGGCTGTCCAACAAGAGAAGATTAACTAGATTCTTACCTAATTGGAAAACATATGTTTTAAATGGACAATGATCTTTCTTCAAGGACAAGAATTTAGCCTAGCAGTTAAGGTGATCATGTCCCATATCTGGACCTGAATTTGATTCCAAGTTCTGGCTCCAGACTCCAGATTCCTGCTAAGGTCAACCTTGAGGAACAGTGATGACTCAGGTAACTGAGTCTCTGCCACCCACCGAAGAGAGCTGGATCACATTTGTGATTTCTGGCTTCAGCCCTGACCCAGGTCTGGCCATTGTGGGTATTTGGGTAGTAAATCAGCAGATGGGAGTATTCCCTGTCTCTCTCTCTCTCTCTCTCTCTCTCTCTCTCTCTCTCTCTCACACACACACACTCACACACACACACACACACACACACTCTTTATTTGTGTCTCTTAGCCTGTCAAATGAATAACAGGAGTGGACATTTGGCACAGTGAAAAGTTGCCACTTGGGACTTCTGCATTGCATATCAGAGTACCTGGTTCAAGTCCCAGCTCCTCTACTTCTGATCCATCTTCCTGCTAATGTGAATCCTGAGAGGCAGCAAATAATGACTCAGACTTGGATCCCTGCAATCCACATGGGAGACCCAGATTGAGTTTCAGGTTATGGACATTTGAGGAGTGAACCAGCAGATGGGAGATCTCTCTCTTTCTCTCTCTCTTTCTCTCTCTCTTTCTCTCTCTCTTTCTCTCTCTCTCTCCCTACTCCCCCTTCTTTCAAATTTTTAATAAATAATTTTTAAAATTATTCTAGAACATTCAGGTGATTCCATGCATATTCTAGAACATTAGCATTGTTGAGAACATAAAGCAAATTTAAACCTTGAGTGATAGAGATCATTTTAATCAAAGTTGGAATCTTAGAGTCTATGAAAAAAATGAAGACATATTTGAATGTATGAAAACTAAAATTAATGTGTTGCAAAACTACAATAACAAGGTCAAAAGACAAACTGATAAAACAATCTGCAACTCAGGGGAGGCAGAGATTGAAATTATAATACAGATTTCAGAGAGCTTTTATAACTTTAAAAAAAGTAAAAACAACCCAAAAACAGGAAAAAACATAAAAAAGCAGTTCAGAGAAGGAAAATCCAAACTCCCAGAGCATCACCGGTGCTCTGGGAAATGCAAATTAAAGTAACAAGAGCATATCACTTTATAACAAACTTGTGAACATGAGGAAGAGCTGTATTAGCTAGTTTGAATTTAGGTAAAGGATACTGCTGTCACCTACTCCATACCTAGTCTGTATGAGATTACTACCACACATATGATCCAGCATTGACTGGAATATCATTAGGCATCATAGGACTATACACATTCTTTTATGATCTCTCCATTTTACAAATGAGGAAACTGATACAGTTTTAAAAGTTGCCCAGAGTCACTTCTAGTAAGTGGCAAAGCCAAGGATCTATGCAGACTTTAAAAGTTGTGCTAGACTGCCTAAGAGAAAGGACAAGAGTATTTATTTCAGCACTGTTTGTGAAGGCAAATCTAGAAGCAGTGCCAAAGTCCATCAGCAAAAGAACATTTAATTCATGATGGCAGGTCCATGCAGCACAGTAAATGAGGCATGAAAAGACGGTATTAGAACCTTACCAATGATGCAGAGAGTTTCAAGATACTGTTGAGAGAAGAGAGAAGCAGTAAGTCAGTAAATCATGAGCAGTAAGGTTCAAAAATAGAAAAATAATGACCCAAGTTCTGAATGGATATATACACATAAATATGAATGTATCAATATTTGTATTAATGTACTATATATTAATATATTGAATTTATATTAATATACTATATATTTATATTAATATAATATAAATACAAATTATTACACATTTCAAATGAACATTATAGAGGGGTACATCTTACATTATCAACATGGGTCACAAGAAAGTGAGGTGAGAGGAGCCAACCATCCCAGAAAAGCCAAAATCAATGACAATACAATAATATGCATAATCCTGTTTATGAATTTATATAAAAATTGTATATGCCTATAAAGTAAATAAATAACAATTAAAATGACATTGATACAAATGTTTTAGCTAAATCATTAGAGGAGGGAACACACAGGAGTAAAAAATGTAGGGGCTGGTGCTGTGGGATAGTGGGTAAAGCCACTACCTGCAGGGCCAACATCACATAGGAGCGCTTGTTCAAGTCCCAGCTGCTCCACTTCTGATGCAGTTCCCTGATAATGGCCCAGGAAAAGCAGCAGAAGATGGCCCAATTGTTTGGGCCCCTGACACCCACTGAGAGACCCAGAGGAAGCTCCTGCTCCTTGCTTCAGCCTAGCCCAGTCATCTGGGAAGTGAATCAGCCAATGGCAGATCTCTCCATCTCTCCCTCTCTCTCTGTAACTCTGACTTTCAAATAAGTAAAGAAATCTTAAAAAAAAAAAAAGGCAAAAAAACATAATGGATGGGGCCAGCGCTGTGACACAGCGGGTTAACGCCCTGGCCTGAAGTGCTGGCATCCCATGTGGGCCCCGGTTCTAGTCCCGGCTGCTCCTCTTCCAACCCAGCTCTCTGCTGTGGCCTGGAAAGGTAGTGGAGGATGGCCCAGGTCCTTGGGCTCCTGCACCTATGTGTGAGACACAGAAGAGGTTCTTGGCTCCTGGCTTTGGATCAGCGTGGCTCTGGCCATTGTAGCCATCTGGGGAGTGAATCAGTGGATGGAAGACCTCTCTCTCTCTCTCTGCCTCTCCTCTCTCTGTGTAACTCTGACTTTCAAATAAATAAATAAATATTTTTAAAAAAACATAATGGTTACCAGAGGATGGGGAGGGAGGTAGAGAAGGGGGTTAGGATACTAGATCATAGCTAGATAGGAGTAAGGAGTTCTGGGGTTCTGCTGCATAGTAGGGTGACTGTAGATAATGTCAATGTACTGTAGATTCTCTATAAAATCTAGAAGATGGGATTTTGAATGCTTTTCACTATAAAGAAATGTTAAATACTTGATAAATATGTATATACATATATAGAAATACATATATATTTAAACATTCTTTTTATTTATTTGGAAGTCAAAGTAACAGAAAGAGAGGGAAAGAGGGAGAGGGAGAGAGAGAGAGAGAGAGAGAGAGGTGTCTTCTATTCACTGGTTCAATCCCCACATGGCCACAACAACCAGGGCTGAGCCAGGCCAAAGCCAGAAGCCAGGAGCTTCATCTGGGTCTCCCATATGGATGACAAGCGGCCCAAGTACTTGGGCCATTTCTGATGCTTTTCCCAGGACATTAGCAGGGAGCTGGAAGCAGGACAACCGGGACACAACCTGGTGCCCATATGAGATCCCCACATTGCAGGAGACAGCTTTACTTGCTACAGCACAACATGGGCCTGGGATAAATGTGTTTATCCTGATTGGACATAATACAATCTATCTGTGCCACAAAACAGCATATCATGCATAAATATGTATGATTTTTTTAAAAAATCTTTATTTGTTTGAAAGAGTTTCAGAGAGAGGTAGAGACAGAGAGGTCTTCCATCCGCTGGTTCACTCCCCAGATGGCCGCAACGGCCAGAGCTGCACCGATTGAAGCCAGGAGCTTCTTCCGCGTCTCCCACATGGGTGCAGGGGCCCAAGTCCTTGGGCCATCTTCTACTGCTCTCCCAGGCCATAGCAGAGAGCTGGATCAGAGGAAGAACAGCCGCGACTAGAACCGGCGCCCATATGGGATGCTGGTGCTTCAGGCCAGGGCTTTAACCTGCTGCACCACAGCATCGGCCCCAATATGTACAATTTTTAAAAATCCAGTTTGACAACCTTCAGAAGAATCAATTATTAGAAAGAGAGAAATACCTTAGATGTGAACCCATCAGTGCCCTATTGTGTTCCTGAGAACTGGATGCTGGGTTCCACAGACCATTCTGCACAGGTGCTTCTGGCACATCATAAATATGCACGGCTCTGCTCACCCGACCTCCAGTCTCTTCCTGCTTTCATCCCATTTGGCCATCTCTCCCCCTTTCACTCAGCACAGAAAGCCTTAATAATTCCCCAGTGTCTACAAAATGGAGTCCAAATTCCTCAGATTCCCAGAACAGCCCACACAGGAGGATTCCCTGCCTAGAGCCAGCAGCTGCCTCTCCCCGCCAAGCCAGCTCCTCCTGTTCTCCCCTGGCTTTCCTTAGAGCTTCTCTCCTTGCCCAAGACGTGCCCACTGCTTGCTTCTGTTCCTCTTCTCCCATTTACACAGGCCCAGATGTCATCCACGCTAAATCCTACTTAAAATAGCATGACTTCTTTCTTGAACTTTCTTCTCAAGATATTTTTTCTTCTCTTGAGTTCTTTTGCAAGACAGAAGTTAGCACACAGTTTCAGCTGGGACTTCGCTGTACAACGAAACTTGCATTCAACTCCAGTATCTGAAACAGGTGAAAATGGAGTCACAAGTCTTCTCCGAGGAGGAGGAGTGGCTGCTCTGTTGATGGCTCAAACTCTTCTTCCTCCTCTCCAGCTCTGGGCAGAACTTGGGAAACACACTGCTTCTCACCTACCGTCTGCATCTCTCATTCCACCCTCCTGGCTGCTTTGCATCATCAGGATTTGTATTGCCTTTGAAACTGGACCAGGGCAGCCTTTTGTGGTCTGTGTTTGCCCTCTGCAGCCAGTGCGGTTCCTGGCAGAGGTGGCAGCTTTCAGTTTCTAGGGCAGTGAGCCACACAGCAAGAGGCAAACCCAGGTTTAGATTCCTGCTCCAGTGCCCAATTGCTATGTGACCCCAGGCACATCTCTGAACTAATTTGGGCCTCAACCTCTGTGTCTTCAAAGGGAGATAAATAGTGCCTGCTATGGATTGAAAACTGTGCCCCTTAAACTTCATACAGCATAGAATAATTGTCAATGTGATATTATTAAGAGGTGAGGCAGAGCCGGCATGGACAGGGTTAAGATGTTATCAAAGGGCTTGAAAGAGCGGGTTTGCTGTCTGCCACAAGAGGACAGACAAGAAGACTTGCACCAGATACATAACCTGTGGGTGCCTGAGCTAACAGCACCTCAGTTTTGGTCTCACCACCCTCCAGAATCGTGTGGAATAACTCCCTGTTGTTTCTGAAGTACTTGGGCTGTGGTGGTTCTGTGACAGGTGCCCAAATGGACTAAGATTACCTGTATCTATTTGCTACAGCTGCTGTGGCAAAGACCGGGGGGCTTAGGTGTCAGAAATGTACTTTTTCAAGTTCTAGGAGCTGGAACCGGGGAACCCAAGAATCTCCAGGGTCAGTTTCCTTATCAGAGGGCAAAGCTTAGCCATACTTTTTGGGAATCAGGATACTGGAAAGATTCTCACAGAGTGGTTGGGGCTTTCCAGGAGGATAGAGGGTGAGCTGTAGCTCTAGTGTAGCAGCCGCCAGCCACCCTGCACTCTGAGCAGGCCTGTAGCTGTGCAGGAGTCCAGGCTGAGACAATTACAGAACAAACCTCTGGTGGGGAGGCCAAACCAACCCACTATTAGCTGTGGAGATAGGAGACTAGCCTAAGGCTAAACCCTGAATTCAGCCCACAAGAATGTGCACTGAGCAGAGGGAATGAAAACAATGCTGGGCCTGGCGTGGAGGCAGGGAGCTGCTTGCAGCATGTGACTCTGCAAGGAGAGGGAGCTGCAAAGAACCAAACTCCACTTCCTTAGTGTTTAGCTCCCTAGTGGGGACATTTTTGTTGTTTGCATTTGTCCCTTGCCAGTTGTAAAGTGAGTTGACTTTCCAAAGGGAGTTTGGCTTGTATTTTCTTTTCTTTTTTTTTTCAAAGCAATGACTACATTTTTTTAAAAAGATTTATTTATTTATTTGAAAGTCAGAGTTACACAGAGAGAGAAGGAGAGGCAGAGAGAGAGAGAGAGGTGCCTTCCATCTGCTGGTTCACTCTCCAATTAGCTGCAATGGCAGGAGCTGTGCTGATCTGGAGCCAGGAGCTTCCTCCAGGTCTCTCATGTGGGTACAGGGGCCCAAGGACTTGGGCCATCTTCCACTGCTTTCCCAGTCCATAGCAGAGAGCTGGATCAGAAGTGAAGCAGCCAGAACTCATACCGGTGCCCATATGGGATGCTGGCACTGCAGGCAGCGCCTTTATCCATTACACCACAGCGTGGGCCCCTTGTATTTTCTTTTTTTTTTTTTTTTTTTTTTTTTTTGACAGAGTGTACAGTGAGAGAGACAGAGAAAAAGGTCCTCCCTTTCTATTGGTTCACCCCCCAATGGCCACTGTGGCCGACGCACTGCGGCCAGGGCACCGCGCTGATCCACAGCCAGGAGCCAGGTGCCCCTCCTGGTCTCCCACGCGGGTGCAGGGCCCAAGCACTTGGGCCATCCTCCACTGCACTCCCTGGCCACAGCAGAGAGCTGGACTGGAAGAGGAGCAACCGGGACAGAATCCGGTACTTGGACCAGGACTAGAACCTGGTGTGCCGGCGCCGCAGGCAGAGGATTAGCCCATTGAGCCGTGGTGCCAGCCTGTATTTTCTTAATACTAGCAATAAATAGCCCTGAAAACTGCTCTTTCTAGGAGCTAGGCTGTGTGGGGTAGCTAGAGGATGCATGGTTTTGGGGGAGACAAGGTCCGAAAAAAAGAGAAAGTCTTGAACGACAAGAGCGGGCAGCAAATTGATGGAATAACAGCCCAGAGGAGACAGAAAGATGACCTGTGGTTCAAGTGCAGCGATCAACTTTGATCAACAGATGGTCCCTCTCTCTTGGGTTTGAGGGAAACAATAAATACAGACTTCGGGCACACTATTTGTTAATGTGGAAGTGCAGGTAGCAAAGAGAGAGATGTGAAGATTAGACTTCCCTCTCCACTTCCTCCTCTACTGGGGTGCAAGGTTAAGGGCACATGTGACTGCCAGTAAGTAAGGCAAAGGAGACCAAATCGGGCGCTTCTTTCCCTCTACTTTCAAAAGAAACAGTCTCTCTACTCACCCCTTTTCCCAGTATTTGTGAGGAAAATGCAGTGGGTGATGCCTAGGGCAAAAAATCTTCACTTCTGGCTTTCAGACCTTTTTCTATCTTTTCTAAAGGATAAGAGACTCAAAATCGGTTTTGCTCAAGCTTCAGCCAGCAAATGCAGAACCTATTTTAAATGCAGATGCCTGTAACCTACCCCGCAGTCTGATCACCTGGCACCCATAGCTTAACAAGTAGCCCAGGGATTCAGATGCCAAGGGCAGGGTCGCTCTCCTTCCAGACACACTGGCTTAGATGCCTGCAGCTTCCGGAGCCCTTCAAAGAGTGAGAAGAAAGCAGTTGTCATGCAGTTTTCACACCCAGAAATGGAATCTGTCACAGGCAGAGACTCCAGATTTTCACATCCATGAGAAGTTAGAAAACATGAAAGGCCCAAAAAAGGAAGGCAGTAACTGAGTGAGGCATTGAAATACACACTGTGTGGGAATGTCATGGAGGCTTAATGTTCTTAAATAATGAGATTGAGAAAGAATAATTATTTTTAATTAATCAAAATTTTGAGGATAAGGAAAGAGGAATATCTTAGAGATGACTTCTTTAAAATTTAATGGAACTTAACAATTATGAAGTGCTTTTCATCTTCAAAGAACCTATTAACATTAAATTACTCTTCTTTTTAATTCTCCTGTGAGGTAGCTAAGCAAATGTTAAGATTATTATCCCTTATTTGTAAATGGGAAGAGAGAATTGGAGAGGCTGTGACATGCCCCTGCAGACCTAAATTGGAAAGATTTTGTGTGTGTGTGTGTGTGTGTGTGTGTGTTTTAATTTCTTCTGTACAGACTGAAGATCTGAGTTTTCAGGGTACTACTTCACCTTAACTCTTCTGTATTCCTGTAATGGTAGTATCCCTATAGTATTAGAGAAGCAGTTAAAGCAAACACGTGTAAGCAACCCTTAGCGGGAAGTGGAAGTTTGTGTCTTGCAGGGGAACAGCAGATGCCAGTACAAGCCTCCAGAGTTCCCTGATGTATGCAGGATAAAAGGAAGGGTTTCAAAAGTATCAGAGTTCATTAACGTGAACAGAATGTTTACATTGCCTTAGTTAAGCATCCTAACATAAAATAGGGATTAAGAATGAGGCCTTGATTTGCAGACTCAACCTCTTTCTTATGAATACATTATGGAGTGTTATGTAAATTGAAATCAGTGCTGCTTACCTTAAAAATTTTCTTTGAAGGCAAAGACAATGAACACACTCTAGTCACCAGGCCCAGCCGAAGAATAAACTAAACTAACTAGACTCTGTGATTACTACCATGGCTGAGATATTCATAGACTTGACCCTTTTTAAGTATAAAATTTAAGAAAATTGGAACACTGTTTAAATCACTGAAAGATACATTTGCCATGAAATTTATGCACTCTCTGATTGTTTAAATGCCAAATAGAATGAACACAGTCGACATCTTGTCTTCGAAAGACTTTGTAGAGAGAAGTTTAAAAAGTAAATAATCTGGGCCGGCGCCGCAGCTCACTTGGCTAATCCTCTGCCTGCAGCGCCGGCACCCCAGGTTCTAGTCCCAGTTGGGGCGCTGGATTCTGCCCTGGTTGCTCCTCTTCCAGTCCAGCACTCTGCTGTGGCCAGAGAGTGCAGTGGAGAATGGCCCAAGTGCTTGGGCCCTGCACCCGCATGGGAGACCAGGAGGAAGTATCTGGCTCCTGGCTTCGGATCAGCACAGCGGCCATTTGGGGGGTAAACCAATGGAAAGGAAGGCCTTTCTCTCTGTCTCTCTCACTGTCTAACTCTGCCTGTTAAAAAAAAAAAAGCAATCTGAAAAAGCTGAAGATTTTTAAGAATTGTTTTATGTACTTTTTTCTTAAAGATTTATTTATTTATTGGAAAGTCAGTGTTACACAGAGAGAGGAACAGCAGAGAGAGGTCTTCCATCCACTGGTTCACTCCCCAATTAGCCACAACAGCTGGAGCTACGCTGATCTGAACCCAGGAGCCAGAAGCTTCTGCGGGTCACCCACTCAGGTGCATGAGCCCAAGGACTTGGGCCATCCTCCACTGCCCTCCCAGGCCACAGCAGAGAGCTGGACTGGAAGTGGAGCAGCCAGGACTAGAACCAGCACCTATATGGGATGCCAGCACTGCAGGCGGTGGCCTTACCCACTACACCACAGCACCGGCCCCTGTACTTTTTATTTATTTGAAAGCTGGACATACAGAGAAGTCTCCCAAATGCTGGTTGGACTCTCTTGACCTTCAAATGGTAGAAACTCGGTCAAAGGTTTGTTTTCCGCCCAGCTTCTGTTTCATGAGAGGAAGTATACACCCAGAGGAGTAAGGAGAGTGAAGGGTTTGACAGCCACAGAAACTGGAAAAACTGGAGGGCTGGGGCCAAGGTGAGCCATTTAGTATAGAGCTGTTTGAAAACATCACTGAAAATTGCGTTGGTAGAGTTGAACAGGGACAGAAGCACAACACTGACCAAGTTGAGGACAGAATCCAGCTATCCAGATGATCTCAGGATCTGACGAGGGGAGTGACTGGTGGAGCTGTGCAAGTCTAATGATCAGGACTATCATGCTAAAGGACAAATGGGAATCCCTGTAGAACTCCAGGAGGCAATGTGACGTAATACGGAATTCTCTGGTGTAAGCTGAGAACAGATCAGATGCCTTGGTATCTTCGGGTATTCAAAGGGTAAGGAAAGGTTTCTCATTTTCAGATGATGAATAGCAAACATAGGCTCCAAAAGTGGCTTTCCCTATCATCCATATTTCCAGGGACTTCTGCTTTTTATTTTCATCTCAAAGAATACCAACAATGCATCTGAAGAAATATGTAATCAGTACACAAGTCTTCAAAATAAAGAATATAGTCACGCACCTCAGTATCGTGCTAATTCATTTGCTTTATGCATACCACATTTCCACTCTATGAATTCCTTACATAACATCAGGTATTTCTGGTATCCAGATTGTATCGGGACATATACCTTTGTGTAGCAGACACTTTGATGTTGTCAGAGCCATGGTTTTGTCAGTCACGTGAGAACTGTAGAATGCCATTTCAGTTTAGACTTAAGTAGTATTTAAGTAATTCTACTATGTTCCTAAACACACACTATCACAGATTGTATGTTCCAAGGGAACTTTGGGTCCTTGTCTTTTGTTTTCACCAAGTATCTCAGGGACTTGTATAGTGTAGGTATCTCATGATTTGTGGCAAGATTGGATGAATTAATGAATGAGTGAAAGCTGTAAAAGTTATTTTGATTTCAACAAATTGATTATTTCTTAGATTTAATGAATTTCTTAGATTTAGTGAATTCTGCATATTGATTAATGAGTCCTAGGCAAAAGAAACATAACATTTAAACAGTCAGTAAAGCACTTTGGGTTCTGGTGGTACACAATGACATTGCTGTACCCGCATGTTCTGGTCTGTGCAGCTCAGACAACTAAGATGTAAGTCTTTGCCTTCCTGGATTATTCAGTTGCATGAGGACATAACAGATTTCGGAAGATTTTAGTTATCTGGGCAGGCAGCTTTATTTGGTCAACTTCTTTATACAGTTCTTAGCACAGAAACAGACCATGTCTCATTCTAAAACCAGAAAAATTCTCACTCCTGCATGAGGTTAAATGTATGATTTTAGTAGAACAACTTACAAACTATACAATAATGTGCTTAGTGAGAAGTATCCCAGACAAGTAAAGAAGAGGGGTATCTTTTAGGCTTGTTCATGTACTTCTAGGGCTGCTAGAGTCAATTGCCACAAACTGGGTATTCTCTATTCTGGAGTCCAGAAATCCAAAATCAAAGTTTCAGCAGTGCCATGCTGCTTCTGAGTGCTGTAGGGAGAATGCTTTCTTGCCTTTCAGCTTCTGGTGGTTCTTGGAGTTCCCCGGCTTGTGGATGCGTCACTCCAATCTCTGCCTGTGTCTTCACATGGCCATCACGTTGTTTCTGTTTGTTTTATTGTTTTTTCCCTCTGTGTTTCTTTTAAGGACACTTTTCAGGGTTTAGAATCCACTGGGATAGTCCCAGATACTCTCATCTCAAGATCCTGTACTAAATTATGTCTCCAAAGACTCTTTTTCCTATTAAGGTCATAGTCACAAGTTTCAAGGTCTAGGACCTGGGCATATCTTTCGAGGACCAACATTCAACCCACTACGGATACTCAGATACCCATTCACGTACTTTCCGTCATAAACACCTCCAAGGTTAACAATGCAGCAATGCTTTGACCTCTAAGCCTCTAGTGTGTCCGCCTGAAGAATTCACAGTATTTTCACAGAGAATCCTCCCAACACCCCCAGAGGCCTAGAACAAGAATCAGCAGCATTCCCCCAAGATAAACTAGGGAACAGAAATGAAGAAAATCTCAATCACTAGCTGGAGCTCATAAGGCACATTTCACAAACAAGTCAGCCTGAGAAACTAATGCTGAGACTCAGACAACAGTAAAATACCTAGACATCTGAATAGCTAAAACAGTAAACTGAAAATTAAGCTATTTTAGTCCACTAATTAACTATTTTGGTTGACTTTTGTCCAGTGGTTTGTTCAGTTTTTTGACTGAACTAATGAATATGCACATTGCTTTTGTGACTTGTCAGTCATGGTTATCCATAATATTGCAGAATACAATATTTGAGCTCTGACAATAAAGAATATTTGAAGGTTAGGGATATAAAACCCATTAGAGGTCAATGAAAGCATCATTTGAGGTTTTTTTTTTTTTTACCATTATTCTCTAAGGTCAGTTATAACTAAACACATCTTAACAGATATCAAAAACGAGGGTACTATTCTCAATATTTATGAAGATGTTTATTTTCCTGGATCTCTGTTTCTCAGGTCCTTTTCACATAAACCTACACTAATCATAGTAATATGTCAAAATATGATTGACACATCCAGTATTAATCCAAGATAACCAGAATAATAGATTAAAAAATCCACTATCCACACTTCCAAATGATTGATTTTACCATAACCATCTTTTTATTTGGAGCTTTAGAACCAAATCAATACCAAGTATGTTATTAGCAATTTCATTGTAGTCAGAGAGTGTATTAAAGTCTGCATAACATATGATCAGAAGAGATTTCACTAAAAGAGAGTTCTACACTTGACCCAGCAGGTTGCAAAAGCATCCCAGTTCTCTTTCCTCTGCCCCCGTGAAGGGCGGATATTAACAGAGGGAACTTGGCAGTATCAAGGTTACGCATTCATTTCAGCTGCTAATTAGCAATCAGAAGATAATATCCTTTCATTATCTTGTGTTGGCAGAGCCTCTTTCATGGCAGATGAAGAAAGCTTCAACTTTTCTCAGCTAATTTGCAAAACTGTTTCCATACACGGGGAAGTTTTGCAAACCGAATATAAATCATGCCTTGTGTCTCTGATATTTAAACAATTTCTGAAGGTGTGGAAGAGGGGATTCTTTTCACATCTCCAAAACATCCCCTGAATAAAGGTGGGAGTGGATAATAGACCAAATCTACCTAATATAGCCTTGACCTACATTCTACTCTAGCCACCTGCTCCCTCTGTGTCCCTCCTGACCTCATTATCACCCCGAACTGTGCCATATCAGAAAATGAAAACTCTAAAATCCCATTAGTAATCATTCTACAGCCAACATTCCTACCTCCTCCCCCACCACAGCTGCTCACCAAGTTAATTTGCACCTTGGCCTTTCTTTTCCTCCTGGTCTGGTCTGATCCCCTTCACCCTAGGCCTCCTAAACTTCTCCTTTCCCTGCCCACACAATTCCCTTCCTGCTCTGTTCTTGCTCCCCACGTGATGGGCAGAACACTCTCATGGATCAATATTGTAACTCAGTTTCCTGTATTCAGTACTTAAGCTGTCCCTATGCCTCTAGCACTACAGCAATTGAAATAATCCTGAAAGATGGTACCAATCTTAGCCATGCTTTCTAACCTCAGCAAGTTCTACAGCAAAGTTTCACTGGCCCATTCATGGGGGCACCTTCCATTTCACTATCCTGAAAGCCCCTACCAACAAAATCTCCTCCACTTTGAGGAGATGACTTCAGACTCTACTGAAATAGAAATACTAAAGCAACCCTCTCAACTAGCTCCTCCCCAATATTTACCCCTTAATGCCTTCCCTGGGATAAGCTTCTCCCATTCAAGACAGATGCACTCATTTGGGTTCTGGATCCACCTGCTACATTTCTTCCATGCCCGTGGCTAAGCACATTTTTGCTCCTTTCCCTCATTCACTTCCTCATCTATTGTAATCTTACTTCAATGATCATTACCAACCCTGCACTTTCCATGAGGCACAGAGTTCTCCTAATCAACAAACTCGGTGAACTTGATCACCCTTACCCTAATGAACGGGTTATTGCAGTATATATGAACTCCTACTCAAAACTCCACCCCCTTAGATTCTGAGATGCCACTGTCATCTATGGTTCTTGTATTTCCATTATATGTAAATATAGTTTTAGTGTACCAGTAATGCACCAGTAATTATAAAGATTTTCATATACATATGAAGTATCTTCACAAAAATTAAATGCTATTATTATTTGGGCTTAAGTCTTTCTATGCTCTTTTATGGATGAGTGAGTGGGTATATTCTAAGGCTTACTGTCAGTTCCTCTAGGAGTCTTTCCTAGATCTATTCCCTTCAAAGCCAAACTATGTCTCCCTCTTCTGTGTTTTCACAGCATCCCAGGCTGTCCCCTTCCATGTACTTGCTATGGGATAATTAAACATTGCATTGTAACACACCCCCCTTTACTATCCAGTAAACTCAAAATGAATGTGTACCTGGCACATAGTATCACCCAATAAGTTTGTTGAGGTCACACTTGAAAACCTAAAAACAAACCTTCTCTGATGTCATGCCCTCCTCTTCCTACCATTCTGTCACCACTCTCCCATGGAGAAATATTCCCAGAAAGAGATATCTGCACTACCTTCCTCCACTGCCTCTTTCATTCTCTCCAGCTGGCCAGCCTCCCTACCACCTCCTGGAAAGAGGTTGTCAAGCCTATTAGAGGCCGGCGCCATGGCTCACTAGGCTAATCCTCTGCCTACAGCACCGGCACTCCAGGTTCTAGTCCCTGTTGGGGCGCTGGTTCTATCCCGGTTGCTCCTCTTCCAGTCCAGCTCCCTGCTGTGGCTCCACTGAACTCAAGAAAAACCATTCATGTTTGCATCTCAGGGATTCCTATTCATCCAGCTTTTAATGTTCTTTCTTCAGAAGGCTCACTCTTAATTCATATCAGATAGCATTTTGTGAGAAAGATTGATGCTCCCTACAGCATCCAGAATATACCATTCTCACTTCTCATCAAATTCCCAGTGGAATTTAAACTTATGGGTTTTTTTCTTAATTATTTGACAGAGCTAGACAGTGAGAGAGAGAGAGAGACAGAGAGAAAGGTCTTCCCTCCATTGGTTCACTCCCCAAATGACCACCACAGCCAGCGCTGCGCCAATCCGAAGCCAGGAGCCAGGTGCTTCCTCCTGGTCTCATGCGGGTGTAGGGGCCCAAGCACCTGGGCCATCCTCCACTGCCTTCCCAGGCCACAGCAGAGAGCTGGACTAGAAGAGGAGCAGCCGGGACTAGAACCCGGCATCCATATGTGATGCCGGCACCACAGGCGGAGGATTAACCAGGTGAGCCACAGTGCCAGCCCCTAAACTTATGTTTGATGGGACATGAAAGTACACTTAGAGATCCAGGAGGTGATAAAAAACTGACATGACATTCAAAATGGAACACCAACCCTTGGGGTTTATGATTCTCCTTCAGAGAGTCCACAAAACCCTCCTCAAGTTTTGGCAAAGGCAAGTGGTGCTTATGTGTCAGAATATGATCAACTATTCAGATATCCTTCCCTGAAGTTAATGCCCTATTCTAGTGGTTTCCTAAAGAAACCATCACCACCAGGAGTCATTCAGCAGTGTCCAGAGATAGCTTGGAATTGTCACAACTGGGGGAGAGAACGCTACTAAACTCTAGTGGGTGGAGACCAGAGATGCTGTTAAATGTCTCTCATGCTGGCTGTGATACATCAAAAGATGCAAAAGCTGAGAATGAATCAGAGAGAGGCTGGTGGCTTGATGTGTTGATACAACAGGTCAAGAAGAGACTGAGAAGTTTACCTAATCTATGAGTCACCTTGAGACAGTTCTCATGGACCTAATTTTAATTATAGGAAATCAAACTGCCAGAAACACCACAGCAGAGCTTTTTCACACTTGGCACTTGCCCTGAGGGCTTTCCTGCATTTTTGTATAATTTTCATATAAAAAATAGCTAGAACCTTTTGTAAAAGACTTTTGTCTCAGTGTCTAAAATGTCTATCCAGGGTATCACTGTACCATTGGCAAACTATCTTGTTTCCCCTGCTATCATTCCTGGCTGCATGTTTTGCCATTATGAACCTGCTTTCACCTAAATAATTGGTTGAAAAATACACGGTGTTATTATTTCATAGTAATGTCTGCTAAAACACATTCCCATGCAAAGTTTCATTAGAAGAAAGAGGGGAAGAAGAAGGGAGGCTACTTCAACCTCTTGGTATAAAACATCAACCATCTCTCTCCACACATTGAGTCAATCACCTGAATTTTCCTCTGTAGTTTAGACTTTCAGTCCATCTTCCAGATGGAGACCTACTATAGATACTGGAAATTTGAGCAAGTAACCTAGCCAAGTAGGATTCAAATGCTGAATAATATTTCAGATTTTTTTCATTTTTTAATGTTTAATTTCATTGTATTTGAGAGGCAGTGAGACACAAAGATAAAGATAAAGAGGTAGACAGAAAGATAAATCTTCTATCTTCTGGTTTACTCCCCAAATGCCCACATGAGCCAGACTAAGCAGAGGCTGGGATGGGGCCAAACTTAGGAGCCAGGAACTCAATCCAGTCCTCCCATATTGGTGGCAGCAGCCCAGTCACTGGAGCCATTGCAGCTGTCTCCCAGAATCCACACTGGCAGCAAGCTGGAAAATCAGGAAGCAAACCCAGGAACTCCAGTGTGGGACTCAGACATCTTAACTGCTAGACTGAATGCCCACTCCTATTTCATTCATTTTCAATAGGCTTATATAATTGTGATCCACTGGGATACAGCCAGATGATTATTTTCAGTTTAATTTGATTAACAGAACTGGGTTGAGCCCTCACCTGTGCCAGACACTGTGATCCATAAGCACGGTTTGCAAGGAAAAAGACTTGCAGCTTTGCAATAGCAGGAGACTGGAGGCTCAGGGTTGTGGGACCTGGAATGATTATTTAGCTCCAGGGTTCTGAGCCTGGTGTAAGAGACCAGGCATTCCAGTCTGCGGATGTTTATTAAACTTCTGGATTAACTGAGCTCCACCCATCCTGCTCCAGTCTTCAAGCATCTTAACAGTTGCCAAATACAGTAGGTACTGTTATGATCCCTACTTCACAGTTGAGCAAACTGAGACCCATGTGTGTTAAACAGCTTTTCCAAAGTTACAGGCCAGAAAATGCAAACTGAGGTAGTGTAACATCAGACCTTGCAATTCTGTCCTCCACACTACACTGCCTTGCCTGGATTTCTTGGGTTTCTGTGAAAACACATCTCTGGTTTATGTATTTTTTTTTTTTTGACAGGCAGAGTGGACAGTGAGAGAAAGAGACAAGAGAAAGGTCTTCCTTTGCCTTTGGTTCACCCTCCAATGGCTGCCGCGGCTGGTGCACTGCAGCCAGCACACCGCGCTGATCTGATGGCAGGAGCCAGGTACTTATCCTGGTCTCCCATGGGGTGCAGGGCCCAAGCACTTGGGCCATCCTCCACTGCACTCCCTGGCCACAGCAGAGAGCTGGCCTGGAAGAGGGGCAACCAGGACAGAATTCAGCGCCCCCACTGGGACTAGAACCTGGTGTGCCGGCGCCGCAAGGCGGAGGATTAGCCTAGTGAGCCGCAGCGCCGGCCCTGGTTTATGTATTTTCTTAAAAAGGAATCTGTCGTATGGAGATGATCTATCAGAATCCTGGTGAGCTTTGAATCAAACCCAACATAGAGCCAGAGGAAGGCTCTTCCTCCACTACTGCCCAGAGGAAGCACCACTTCTGGCCCACTGGTAGAGCATCACATTGATCATGTAGTTGGAATAGAGAAGAGGGTGAGCCTCTCACTGTTGTGGTTGATTTCTTCTGAGAGGAAGAGTGTGGTGGGGGCAAGAGGTGCGGAGTCACCACACAGACCCTGGGAGTCGGGTGAAAGCAGGCCTGAGGCAAGCAGCCTGCAGACTCATTTATTTCAGTTGCTACTGCAGCTTATATAGCCAAGGCAGCCAATCTGGTCAAGGGGTAGTCTATGCCCTAACCAATCACACCCTGTTGCCAGGCAGTTTCTGAAGCCATCCAATCACAGCCTGTTGTCAGGCAGGCTCCGTTGTCATGTGGTTTCCGAAACCATCCAATCACAGCCTGTTGCCAGGCAGTTTCTGTTGCCAGTGGCCATCTTGGCATGGCCTTCTCATTCCACCACATATTGCCACCTGCTGCTAGAGAAGGGGTTCCAGCTGGGAGGCAAGACTTTTCTCTTATCCTCAGTCACCTGAGCCTTGTATGCGTTTGCTTACATTGATGTGCCTGGGGACTGAGGCCCCTCTTATGAAGGAAAGTTGAATGGTGCCCATCACTAGATTCCAGGTACATGTAGGCATGTCTGGCATGCATGTCGCAGAAAGCGAGCAGAGCACAGGGAGGGATATGTGGGCCTTTCAGACACAACACAGCTCAAGAGAAGAATGGCATGGTCAGGTGTGACCAACAGTGCCTGCCGTGTAGATATAAATGAAGGGTGCTGTCAGCCCTGGCCCTGCCATGATGCTGCCTTTTTAGGGTTCGAAGGACAGTGAGCAAACTGCAAAGACAGTTCCAGTAAACTTTTGAGACCCAGGCAACTCCACTGGGAGGCCCCTAGAGTAGGCCAACACAGGGTGCTTATTCCTCACTGGCAAAATAAACAGCACAGTTGGTCAGAAGAGCAGACCTGGGGAAGAAGCCTTGGGTGAGTGGCAGTGGCACTGGAGCATGCAGGCCATGAACCACATATGCAGCATTGCTGGGGAGAAGACAGTTGGAGCTGTGCTCAAGCATGGCCTTGAGAATGGCAGCCCAGAGCCGGCCCACAATACCACATGGGTCTCCATCAGTGACTCCCAGAGAGGATGGAGGGACTGAGGCTCTGCAAGTTCACACCCAGGAGAACTTGGAGCCTGGGTTATTAAAGCAATACAAGTACAACCACACGTAGCAGTTCTGCTTCTGGAGGGGCTTATTTTTATTTACCCTTGAACTCTTTATTTGCACCAAGCAACTTAGGTCAAAAACCAGATACTTATCTTTTTACTTAAATCTGGATAGTTTCTCCAGTTATAATCTTACTGCATGTGGACATAATATCTTAGATCTAGAGATTAAAGAGAACGTATTGCTCAACCACCTCATACTCTGAAGGTTTGTAATCTGTGTTTTTACCAAGCAGAATCAGTTTCCTGACAAGCAGTTGTTCAAGCTAGGTGAGATGAATGAAGGAGGTGAATCAAAGAAGATGTTCTTTCATTCATGGTATTGTCCACCATGTCAACTCATCAACTGGTGTAGGATTCCCATTCCAATCTATGCTTTAAATAAAAAAAGGTTTAACCATTTATTTGAAAGAGTCACAGAGAGGCAGAGGCAGAGAGCATGAGAAAGGTCTTGCATCCACTGGTTCACTCCCCAAATAACCACAACAACTGGAGCTGAGCCGATCCAAAGCTAGAAGCCAAGAGTTTCCTCCAGGTCTCCCATGCGGGTGTAGGGGCCCAAGGACTTGGTCATCTTCTACTGCTTTCCCAGGCGTATCAGAGAGCTGGATTGGAAGTGGAGCAGCTGGGACTCAAACCGGAGCCCATATGGGATGCTAGCGGCTTGCTACGCCACAGTGCCAGCCCCCCAGCCTATGCTTTTTAAGCTATTGTTTTAGATTTGGATTGTACAGTTGCTATGCTTACTTTACACAAAAACATCCCATATCATAATTTTTCACTCTAGAGTATATTTTGCTGTATATACTGGGCTGGCTAAGAGCCACCCTGTGTTCATATGAAGCCAAACCACATTATCACAGCTTGGTTGTGCATCTACAAAAATGTATCTAGGGCCTACTCATTGCCCAGATCAGCCATGAAACCAGTGAAATCTTATCTTTAGACATTTCCTCTTGTGATCTACCCCCACTTGAAGCAAATAAGCAGTTCTCTATTGGTTGTCCATTTTGCAGTACTTTGTGCTAAGACAGACCCCATCTTCTGCTCCCACACCCTGTTTGAGAGGGAAGAAATAGGGGACTTAGCTGCAAAGAACTGAGCAAGACACCAGACTCCAGGATCTTCTCCCTGGTTACTCATGATTGATCCTGGGTGAACACCCAACCTCAGCTGGGCCCATCAGTGAACTGTGCTAGAGATTTGGACGTATGTAGTGGGTGTTTGGTAAGGTGCTTGTGGCACCTACATCCCATGTCAGAGTACCTGGCTTTGAGCCTGGTTCTCCTCCTAATTCCTGAATGTACTCCCAATTCCAGGCATCTGGCAATGAAGAACCTTGGAGGCAGCAGGTGATACTTCACATAGTTGGGTTTCTACTACCTAAATGGGAGACCCAGACTGAGTTTCTGGCTCCAGGCCTGTCCCAGCCCTGGCTGTTGTAACTATTTGGAGAGTGAACCAGCAGATGGAACATTTCTCCTCTCCCTCTCCGCCTTTCAAATAACTAAGTTTAAAAGAAAATAAAGAAATTTGGATCTAGATCAGAGAGACTCAAGCAGTCTCTCCTGGTACTTGATCTCCAGGATGTAAGCCATGGGCGTCATTTGCAGTGAGAGAGAAGAAAGGAGCAGGGAAGAGCACAAAGGAGAACCTGGAGGAGAGAGAAGAGAGTCCCTTGTGTTCCTCATGTTCCTGAGCCCAGCTGTGTGTCTGTCCCAGATTTCTTGAGACTCTACCATGATCTTATACTGAATTTTCCATTTAGCTTAAGCAACTTGAAGGTTATGTGAACCAAAATAATTCTAAGTAGCGCAGGGGGTGTTGGTAGCCAACATAAAATAATGTAGCAAGTATAGGCAACATTTAAAGAGTGAAATTTTCCCCCATAGCCCAGCCATAGGAACCAGAGTAGTAACCTCTCCATTGTTCACAGCTCAAAATGGAAACAAAGACCTGGTGCCAAGCAGGTGCAGGTTCCTTTCCTCACTGTACCATTTGCCTGGGGCCAGTTGTTGACCCTCAGTTTCATAATCTGTGAAATGGAGATAACAATAACCATAAAAGAGCATTGTTGCAAAGATCAATGAGATATTATGAATGACATGTCTTGGCCAAATAGGCCAACAGTTATTTCTGTTCATCCAACTTTTCATCTATAATCAACTGCAGGAACTGATAGAACATTGTGAAGAGTGGGAATAATCAGCAGCCTTCTGTATTTTCAATGATAAATATTTTGCATAGATAGATTTTTTTATATTAAGGATATATTCTTCTATTCTTGTTTTACTACAAAGATTTTTTCCTGCAGAAATCAGTGGTAAATATTAATAATTTTCTCTTCATAACCAAAAAATAAACAATATTATTTTGTCTTTCAGCCTCAAAATTAATTTAGTGATAGAATAGCTAGTATTAAACTATCTTATTTTCCTAAAATTAAACATCCTTAATCATTTTACATTGTCCAGGGAATGAATTGGTAGGTTCAGTTCTCTCATATTTCATTTAGGATCTGTCTATGTACAAGCAGTAAGTCTTTAGTTTTCTTTAAAGTGTTATCTTCTCTAGGTTCTGTTTTGAGATTATGGTTGCTCACAATGATGAATTAAGAAGTTTCCCATTTTCTGGAATGGTTTCCACAGCACAGGGATTTTTCTGTTACCTGAAAGATTAGAAAGAACATGTCCTTTCTAATTTAATATATAAATATATATTAAATATATAATATAAACTTGAATATATATTTATATATTTAATTTACATCTCAAGATTTATTTATTCTTCATTTTATTTGAAAGAGAAAGAGAGACAAAGATCTTCCATCTTCTGGTTCACTCCCCAAATGCCTGCAACAGCCAAGGCTGGGCCAGACCAAATCCAGGAGCCCAAGGCTCCATCCAGGTCTCCCATGTGGGTGGCAGGGACCCAAATACTTGAGCCAACACCTGCTGTCTCCCAAGGTGCACATAAATAGGAAGCTGGATCCTAAATGGAGCCAGGAGTTAAACCAGGCTCTCTGATATGGGTTGCAGGTGTACCAAGAGGTGTCTTAACCGCTTCTCCAAATTCCTGCCCTCTCCGCCTAAATTTTAAAGGTAGTTGTTCTTCCTCTAAGTGTTCTAGTTGACATCATGGTTACTGGTTTGTTTAAGTTCTCTACATCTTCGATGAATTTGAATTTTATTGTTTGCTAAAAACTTTATAATGCATGAGAGTAATCTAACATTATACCAAAAATGATATTCTTATTTAATGTCTTCATCTGTTCTGTATCTCCCTGTTCTTACTACCTGTCATGATGACCAAGTCTCTGTTCTGGACCTTCAGGGACCACCTCTAAGTGAAGAGGGCACTGCACCAGGCTCTTCCCTGGCTTGGGGCAACTCAGTCATCTCCACCTGCATGGCCATGCCCCTACCATCATATTGGAAGCCTCAGTTGCAGTGCTTTCAAGTACAGTGAGGTTGGGTTAGCCACTACTGGGGAGAAGTGAATGGTGTTTTTAGACATAGGACTATCAGGAACCAGTTAGTTATTGAGGTGCTCAAGAATAGATGGAACATTGGTGGGCACCCAAAGATGTTTGGTGGTCCCATAAGCCTCCTCATCCATAGTGTCCCCTTGGTACCTTCATAAGCTTCTGTATGCCTATAGTCTCTGCAGAGTCAGCAACACTGGTCTATCAGTTCATGCAAAAATCATTGACCACCTCAAACGTCAATCTGAAGTATTGTCATTTTTAATTATGTTTATTCTGTGAATCAGATAACCTATTCATTTAACACTTTTGTGCCACTCATAGAATAGATAGTCTTTTGAGTCTAAAACAGAACCTCATGAAAGACAGTAAAGTTGGGCTTATTGGAAATTCAAGTGGGAGGATCTGAGAAAAGTCACAGCAGGTCCTGGATTAGGTGAAAGTCTAATTAGATAGGAGACTAAGGAGGCCTTAATTATGGACGGAGGTGCTAGAGATGAGCTATCTCACATGGAAGGAACCACAGGGTGCTAGACTAGGCAGACGAGACGCTGGTTTAGGAACAGGGTGACAATGTAGCATCAGCATTTAGCTTGGCAGGTCACCATCAATGGTTCCAGGAGGCTAAGTGACCAATGAGGATGTGAACCAGCAGAGGCCCTTACAGCTGGAGGTGACCGGGTCTGCATGACCAGCTCTTCTCAGCAAACACCTGTCCTTTCGTTGTGTGTGGCTGACTGTATTAAGCAGCACAGTTTGCTCCACTACTCTCTCTTATCACACTGCAGTTCCATGTAACTCCTCCCCACTGTCTGTCAGCAGAACTGTCACATGTGGCCTGTGCTCAGATCCTCCACCTCCCAGCATGGGCCTTCAGGTGATCTTTATGGAATGCTTGGATGGGTAAGGAGGTACTGTCCAGAAGATTCTCTTGTGTCTTTGGGTTCAGATCTTCCTTAGGGTCAATGTGGGCTGTTCATTTAAGATTCCTGACTTCCCTTTCATGATGCTTTCCTAATCTTGAGTCCTTATATCGCCAGCTCTGAGAGTCAGGACCCCTGGGGGAGAGGAAGGTTCCTTTAGTATACATCAAGCACACAGGTATTGATTATGGTTTTAAAAAAAAGGAGGAGGAAGAGAATGGGTACCCCAGCATCATCAATAGGAAAATTCCATAAGCAGCTTAAAGGAAGTAAAGAAACACATCAAATAAAAATGCAAACTAAAACTATTTAACAACATCAGTTCCCACCTGCCTTTACATCTCTCTGCGCCATCTGTGTTCCAGGTTCAGGTTCAGTGGCCGCATCCTAGGCTTGGCTCTGATCCATCAGTACCTTCTGGACGCCTTCTTCACGAGGCCCTTCTATAAGGCGCTGCTGAGACTGTAAGTGGATTGGAGACCAGGGCTCCACCGGGCCCTGGCCGCAGGACATTGGCCCTGGCTCTCCGCATTTCTCTCCTGTTTCTGGCAGTGTCATGCTCTTAGATCACAAACACCTCTTAGTACAATAAAAAGGCCTTTGGAGATTTTAGGTGGGGGTAGGAGTAGGGAAGAGTCTGCTTTCAAAACATCATAAACTGGACATGAATCCACTTATTTACAAATATAATATTACTAACATCGCAATAAGCTATTAAGTAGAATTAATCTGTTTATCACTTTCTTATTTTAAAACACTGTTTTCTCCAGTGGAAAAGAGTCTGTGAATCAATAATTATTTCATGTCTCTTATTAAAAATATTTTAACACTTCCTTTCAAAATAAAATTAATAAATGAAAAAAATGATTGGATTATCTGATTCCTCAGTATATTCAAAAGTAGCAAATTAAAATGTGTCTGTGATATTGGAGCCAGAAGTGGCATAACCACATTTTGGAACGAGGTCTGGGCAGTCATGTTTTCAGAAATGCTATTTACTTTGCTCCCTTTGAATTCACTCAGGCCTTGTGATTTGAGTGACCTGGAATATCTGGATGAAGAGTTCCACCAGAGCTTGCAATGGATGAAAGACAACAACATCACAGATATCCTAGACCTCACTTTCACTGTTAATGAAGAGGTTTTTGGACAGGTTTGTATGATATGGGGCTTGGAAAAGCCTATTTATTATTGTAGACTATACACCAAACATAAAATTTACCATGTTAATAATTGTAAGTGTATATTCTGCATTGTCAAGTATGTTTACTTTTGGGCATCTAGTCTACAGAACTTTTTCATCTTGTATGACTGAAGCTACCCATTCAACAACAATTCTCCATGTCTCCTACCTTCCAGCTCCAGGCAACCATCACTCTACCTTCTATTCCTATGGACTTGGCTACTTTAGATACTTCACATATAAATAATGTCCTCAAGATTCAACCATATTGTAGCATGGGTCAGAATTTCCTCCCCATTTTAACACTGAGTAATATTTCATCACACGTATATATATGATACATTTTATGTATCTATTCACCTATTGATGAACCCTTGGGTTCCTTCTGTTCTTAGGCTATTGCAAATAATGCTGCCGTGAGCATAGGAATATGAAAATCAGTTCTAGTTCTTGTTTTCAGTCCTTTTGGTTATACTTAGGAATATACTTAGAAATGGGATTTGCAATTCACATGGTAACAGGATTTTGTTTTTAAACTAGAGAAAAAGGAGACTTTTCTTTAATCCCAATAGCCTGTTTTGTGATTGCTGTTTATGATACGTAGCTACATATGGAGTTTTGTGAAAATTACATTAGACAATAAATCAGAAAGCATTTTTGTAAAGTATTCCATAAATATGAAAGGTATTTATTATCTTTGAGACAAAAATTTTTATCACCTCTAAGTATTTACTCTTTCAAAATGCTTATATTTCAACGATATTTAATAACATAAAGCTTCCCATGTGTTTCCTACATTTATCTTACATTGTATCTTCTGAGCAAATGAGTCAGAGTCTTAGAAACCAACCATAGCCTAAGCAGATTTAACGACCGAGGTTTTGAGAACTTCATTTACAAAAGCCCCCAACAGCCCGTGGCATGAAGCAGTTGTAACAGGGCTGCCGGGAGATTCAGTCACTTTATGAATGCCTTCTCTGAATGTGGACAGTGTGCTGAGGGAGTGAGTGAGAGCGCCCCACTGCCCGCTGCAGACCACTCACACCCGCATCCCACCCAGGAATCCTGGCTGGCCCCGAGAAGCATCACCGCTCCACTGCGCGTCCTCTGTCTAACCATACCTCTGAAGGGGGCTCTTTATAAACTTCAGAAAGCACGTTTCTTCCAACTGTAGAAAGCACATTTAAATATGTTCAAGAATATGCTACTTGTTTAACTGTCCTACCACGTACTAAGTGCACAGGCCAAATACACTGCTGCTGGGACACGAGGACTTCACATTCAACCAGCGGTAAAGGGTGAATTTGTAAAATATACACAATTATTTAACAAATTGTATTAGGACAGCTTGGCATGCTTCTTTAAGTTTTATGTTGCATCCCTAACCTAACTCACTGCACTGAAATAAATTCCAGTTGATCAGAAAAATTAAAATTTCTAGTTCAAAAATCTGAATGAATAAAAGACAAAGAGAAAATTTTTATTTTTAAGCTTGCATCAAGGAATGGTGCTATAGGTGAAGCACAAACTTTCAAAGTCATAAAAGAAAATAATGACATAGTCCAGTCAAATTATTATTTAAATTCCTTATGACAAAATACAGTATACCAGCATAAAAGTAGCAGGAATTTTAAAACATTGTAATACATAACACAAAGGCTGCTTCCTTCAGTATTGGATAAGATCCCATGCATCAGTAAGAATTATTCAGGGCCGGCACTGCGGCTCACTAGGCTAATCCTCCGCCTAGCGGCGCCAGCACACCGGGTTCTAGTCCCGATCAGGGCACCAGATTCTGTCCCGGTTGCCCCTCTTCCAGGCCAGCTCTCTGCTGCGGCCAGGGAGTGCAGTGGAGGATGGCCCAGGTGCTTGGGCCCTGCACCCCATGGGAGACCAGGAGAAGCACCTGGCTCCTGGCTCCTGCCTTCAGATAGGCGTGGTGCACCGGCCGCAGCGCACTGGCCGCAGCGGCCGTTCGAGGGTGAACCAACGGCAAAAGGAAGACCTTTCTCTCTGTCTCTCTCTCTCTCAGTGTCCACTCTGCCTGTAAAAAAAAGAAGAAGAAAAAAGAATTATTCAGTCAATGGTCCAATAGAAAATCAGCAAAGAATATGAATATATAGTTCCCCAAAATGGAAATACAGGGAATGATCAAGCTCATTTGCAATTTTTAAAGATGTAAATTAGGACAGGAGTCCGCCTTTATCCACAGTTTCACTGGTAGAACACTAGTTAAATAGCATACTCTTACACAGTGGAATAGTAGACTCCTGTGTGGCTATTAAATGTCTGAGACACCCCAGCCCGTCAATTTACATATAAATCATAAATAATAAACAGAATGTGCCAACAGCAATGAAAGAACAAAGCAAATCTAAATCAGTACGAAACAATTGACCAGATATATTTTTTGGAGGAAAAAAAAAAAAGACAAGGAAGAATAGTGTGTATAATAATAGGCTACTGTTTGTTGGGGGGAAGAGCTGATATAGGCCATGTCTCACTTAACAGGGATGTGTGAGATGCAGACTGGGGAAACAGCACAGAGTGGACTGGCCCAAACCTAGATGGTATCGGTCAGTCGCTGGACATGGCCTCTTACGCAGCCAAGAGACACAGTCAATGCTAGATTGTGTATGAGGCTGCTGCCAGTGTGTCACAGCACACTGCTCTACAGATGGTTTTTTTATTTTTAATTTTTTACTTAAATTCATAAAGGTACAGACAGAGACAAGTAGACAGGGATATCTCTCATGTGTTCACTGATGCGGTCTCCTCATGCCTGCAACAGCCAGGCTAGGGCCAGGCCAAAGTCAGAAGCAGGGCACTCGATTCAGGTGTCCTGTGTTGGCAGCAGGAACCCAAGTGCCTACAGCCTCCCAGGGTACCCATGAGCAGGAAGCTGGAATCCGGAGCAGAGCCAGGACGCAAGCCCAGGCACTGCACTATGACATGTGGGTAACCCAAGCGGCTTCTTAACCCGTGCACCAAACGCCTGCCTCATAAACTATTTTTATAAGTAGAAGAACAGTGATAAAATAATGATTTATAGTATGGTATCGACATTTACCAATAACTGTCATTTATTATTACCATCAAATATTATGTATCATAGGTATCAAGTGTTGAATGCTTAGCAACCTTGGCAAACAGATGTTTCTCCATGTTAAATCCTATATGCTATACTTTTATCCAGCTGGCATTACAGTAGGGTTGTTTACACCAGCATCTCCACAAGCATTGCTCTGCAGTGTCACTAGATGGTAGGAATTTTTCAACTCCATCATCAACTTTCTGTAGTACATTGCAGACGGCATCACCGTGCTACAGTATGTATCTGTAGGCACATTCTCTACCATACACTGAGAATCTCCCTGGAAAGGAATAGGGGAGATTTTTTTTTTCCAGAAAGAGAGACTGTATAGCTGGAATATAATATGGGGAAGAAACTTACTTTTCACTTTATGGTTTTTTTGTAAATATTTTATTTATTTGAGAGGTAGAGTTACAGACAGAGAGAGGGAAAGACGGAAAAGTCTTCCATCTGCTGGCTCACTCCCCAAATGGCCACAATGTCTGGAGCTGGGCCAATCCAAAGCCAGGAGCCAGGAGCTTCCTCCAGGTCCCCCATGCATGTGCAGGGGCCCAAGTACCTGGGCCATCCTCCACTGCTTTCCCAGGCCATTAGCAGAGAGCTGGATTGAAAGGGGAAGAACCACTATAATCTAAAAGTTTCACTTTCAAAATTTATATTTATTAAAAAAGAAAAAAACATTGGAAGGCCTGATGCCGACGATTAACTCTTCCACATGCAAAAAAAAAAAAAAAAAAGGTGGAGCAGCTGAGACACAAACTGGCACCCACATGGGATGCTAGCACCACAGGTGGAGGCTTAGCATACTATGCCAAAGCACCAGCCCCCACTTTTATATCACTTGAATTTCATGGTCACATATTATCTACTCAACAAAATACATACAACTGAACATGTAAAATTAGGTAAAATGAAAATGTTGGAGACACAAAAGGACAATGCTTTGTGTATACATAGAGAAAAGCTTCAATGTTCCCAGTGATTTAAAAGTAAGGATGTGTCTGTAGATCTAGAATAATGTGAATCTGTTTAAATTTTATCCTCTTTCTCCTCAAAATGAAGTCACCAAGAGCAATGATTTGGTTTCAGAAGATTGGATGGGGTCCGGCACTGTGGCAAGCCGGGTTAAAACCCCAGCCTGCAGTCTAGGCATCCCATATGGGCACTGGTTCAAGGACTGGCTGCTCCATTTCTGATCCAGTTCCCTGCTAATGCTCCAGGGAAAGCCACTGAGGATGGCCCAAGTTCTCGGGCACCTGACCTGGAAGAAGCTCCTGGCTCCTGGCTTCGGCCTGACCCAGCTTTGCCTGTTGCAGGCATTTAGGGAGTGAACCAGCAAATTGAAGGTCTCTGTCTCTGTCTCTGTTTCCGTCTGTCTGTCTGTCTGTCTGTCTCTCTCTCTCTCTCTCTCTCTCTCTCTCTCTCTCTCTCTAACAGTGCTTGTGGTATCCCAACCATCACACTCATGTTCAAAGCAGCAAGACCTCCCCTTAAAGAGCCCTTTGGAAAATGCCATATAGTTCTTCTGCCTACACCTTAGTGAATAGAATTTAGTTACCTGCCACACGTGGCTGCAAGGTAGGTTGGGAATAAAGCCTTCAAGTGAGCAGCTAAATATGGATATTGGTTGGCAACTAGGATTTTATAATTGTCTAATATTCTCTATTAGTGCTAGAGTCCTAGCTGATAGAAGAAAAAGTCACCATCAGACCTTTTTTTAATATTTACTTCTGTATTTGAAAGGCAGAGCAAGATGAGAGAGAGAGAGAGAGAGAGAGAGAGAGAGAGAGAGAGAGAGAGATCCATTTGCTGATTGACTCCCCAAATAGTCTCAACAGCCAGAACTGACCCAAGCCAAAGCCAGGAGCAGGGAACTCCATCCAGGTCTCCCATGTGGGTAGCAGGGGCCTAGTTACTCGGGCCATCACCCACTGCTTTCCTGGGTACATTAGCCATAAGCTGGATTGGAAACAGAATCGGCACTCTGATTTGGAACGCCAGCATCAAAAGCAGCAGCTTAACTCATTGTACCACAATGACTGCCCCACCATCAGACTCCTTGTGGACTGTTTTGTTTTTAGGTACCTGTGTCCACAAATGCCAAATATATATGTATATATATTTTAATCAATTACCAACTACATTGACACCTCATTAAGTCTTGTAACATAGAGCAGTGAGTTGCCTTAAGTGATTTTAAGATGACTGAAGATTAGCCCTTTGAAAAAACACATTTTGATAAAAATAACGTCTAACATGTTATTTACCTTCTTGCCCTTGAAAACATATGGCACAGAGCCTAGCTTTCCTTGAGGACTCAAACTTGTCCTGACAAGTGCTCCACCATGCTGAGTGCAATACTGTTCCCAGGCGCTTCCACGTCAAGGTCAGGCCCTCATTCTTCAGACGCCATCATCACCTGACTACAGGCACCACCTTTGCTTGCTATGCTGTCTCTGCTGCTGGTCCTCTGTGGGAGGGGAAGTGGTGGCTGTTGGGGATTTACTCTGAGATAGGGAGGAGTCAAATAGGGACGGTAGTGTTGGGACATTCGGTGTCACCATCAGGGAAAGTTGGAGCATTTTCCTTTTCTTTCCATTGTGCCTCTTGAGTTAAGGGGATGTGTTTCTTCCTTATAAAACAAAAAGCCTAGCTTTGCCAAGGTGCTTAACATCTGCTTAGATCAGCTAGAGTCTTTCAGTGACCTCTAGGAGAGAAACAGGATCTAAGGAGGTAATGATGCTGAAACCGTGCGGAGAGGATTTTTGGCACGAGGCCATGCTCCCGAAGCCAGTCCGTATCTTCGGGAAGTAAGCGGAATTGAAAGCAGCCTGGTCTTTCTGGTTTTCCTCCAAGGTAACAGAAAGAGAGCTGAAGTCGGGAGGCGCCAACACCCAGGTGACGGAGAAGAACAAGAAGGAGTACATCGAGAGGATGGTGAAGTGGCGGGTGGAGCGCGGCGTGGTGCAGCAGACCGAGGCGCTGGTGCGGGGCTTCTACGAGGTGAGGCCCAGACCCGGCGGAGGAAGGCCCTGAGGTCTTCACTGGGAGGGGTCTGCTCCCCCAGAGAGCCCTACGGGAGCAGTCACGGAGCCAGCGAGGAGAATGAAGAGCCAGAGTCCAAGCTGGCGGAGGGCTCAGCTCTCCTCACCAGAGGGCAAACGGATCCTACTTGGGGCGGGAGGTGGAGGAGTCACCAACTTGTCTCATAGGTGAAAAATACTCCCCAAAATCTGGCGTCGGCGTAGCTCTGGTGTGCCAGATATGGAATGATCCAGCCTCTCTCTACAAGACACGTGCAGGCAGTGTTTCCTTTTTGCCCACTAAAACAGGAACGTAAAGGCACCTGCGGGTGGATGGAGGGGGTGCACTAGCCACATTTGCCAGAATTTAATTTTGTTATAGGATCACCTTGTGCCACATAATACATGCTGAGTGGTAGATTGAGATGACAATGACAGGGGGCTGGATTTTGCCCACAGAGATGACGTCCTTAAACTTTTCCAGTTTAGAGACAGCAGGTTGGAAACGTTTTCTCGGCCTTGGGTCTTGAGCCTTGGAAGGCTCTCTTTCCCTGCTCTACTAGAGAGGAGCATTGCCACTGTCCCTGCACCACTGGTTTGATAAGCGAGGTGCTACTGCAGGTGTCCAGCTGCACCTGGCACATCTGGCACGAGGTACCACACAGAAGCCTTGAGCCCCAAGGAGCTTGGTCCTTCCACCCTTTGAAGGAGGAAGTGAAGGCAAAGGGAAGGAAAATACCATCATTCAATGTACAAGGCCCTGACCTAGGAAGTGATTCCTAATTGCCTGTGAAAGAGATGGTACATTTTAAGTGTAATGGTAATAATCGCTATCAAGTCACTGCCAAGTGGTGTGGAGGTTTTTGCCTTTAAAATGCAAGGTTGTTTGGAAACTTCAACAGGACTTCAGGAAGTCAAGTCAGATTGGTTGATAACATCACCTTCAGAGGGAAATAAGGACATGGGCTCTTCACTGTGTGTCCAGCCCATGAGGCGCTATGTTCTAGAATGTCTAAGTCCATGATTTTCCCAGTCTGTGCAGGCTGCTGGAACACAATACCATAAACTCATAAACCAAGTAGCTTAGAAGCAAGAGAAATTTATTCCTACAACTTTGGAGCCTGGAAAGTCCACAATGGAGGTGGCAGCAGATTTGTGTCTGAAGTCTGCTCCCGGGTCACAGGTGGCACCTTCTCACTGTGCCCTCCCCTTGTGAGAGCAATGAGTGCTCTTCCATGGGCCTCTTCAGGAAAAGCCATGGATCCCTTGCCTGGGGGCTCTTCACCCCAAAAGAGGTGACGATTTCAACATAGGATTTGAGGAGGTGCAAAAACTCAGACGCTGGAAATGACGCTGAACTTGAAAATGATTGCATGTTGGGGCCAGCACTGTGGCTTAGTGGGTAAAGCCACAGCCTGCGACACCAGTATCCAGTAAAGGGTGCCAGTTTCAGTCCCAGTTGCTCTACTTCTGATCCAGTTCCCTGCTTAGGGCCTGGGAAAAGCAGCAGCAGATGAACCAAGTGCTTCAGCTACCACCACCCACGTGGGAGACAAGGACAAAGCTCCTGGCTCCTGGCTTCAGCCTGACCCAGCCTTGGTGTGGCCATCTGGGGAGTGAACCAGATGAAGGAAGATTCCTCTCCCTGTCTCTCCCTCTCTCTGTGTCACTCTGCCCTTCAAATACTTAATCTTTTTTTTTTTTTTAAACTTACTTGAAAGTCAGAGTGACACAGAGAGAGGAGAGTCAGAGAGAGAGAGGTCTTCCATCCGCTGGTTCACTCCCCAATTGGCTGCAACAGCCAGAGCTGCGCTGATCCGAAGCCAGGAGCCAGGAGCTTCTTCCGGGTCTCTCATGTGGGTGCAGGGGCCCAAGGACTTGGGCCATCTTATGCTGCTTTCCCAGGCCATAGCAGAGAGCTGGATCAGAAATGGAGCAGCTGGGTCTCGAACCAGCACCCATATAGGATGCCAGCGCTTCAGGCCAGGGCATTAACCCGCTGCACCACAGCGCCGGCCCAATACTTAAATCTTTTTTAAAGACAAAAAAAATGATTCTGGAAGTGGTGGTCAGCTTCCCATTTTAATCCACAGAAGTCATAATAATCAGCATGACTTGCCCATGTGCTTGGACTGGGCTGCTGAAGCCTAGCCTGCATTTCAGGTTGTCTGATCTGTCTGCTTTCAGGTGGTAGACTCGAGGCTTGTGTCCGTGTTCGATGCCAGGGAGTTGGAGCTGGTGATAGCTGGCACGGCAGAAATTGACTTAAATGACTGGCGGAATAACACTGAGTACCGGGGAGGTGAGCTGCCAGGAGTTGGGTAACAACTATCGCAAATCCCAGTTGTCATTTTTCAAAAAGTCTTTTGTTGAAGTGAAATGGACCATAACATAAAACATTGACATGAACAAGTGCATGGCATTTGGTACATCCTCAGTGCTGGGCAACTGAGATTTTTCCAAATTGCTTTCATCGCCCCAACAGAAAAACTCTGGACCCGAGAAGCAGTTGTTTTCCCTTTCTTTACTCTCTCCTTCTGCACCCCAGCAACCATCAATCTGCATTTTGTTTCCATGGATTTTACCTACTTTGTTATACCTACTTTATAATGTAAACATATACAATAAAATAAGACTCATACAATCATATAAGACTGTATAATAAGATTCATATAAGACATGCAAAATACGGTCTTTGATGGAGTCTTTGGCTAGGATTAAGTTAACTTGTGGTAGCGTATTTCAGTACATCGTTACTTTTTATAGCTGAATAATATTCCATGGTGTGTACATATGTGTGTATGCATGTATATATAATTGTGAACATAATTATGAATTTATATAGATAACTCATCACTTTCTGATGATTACAAAAAGCTTGGCCCTACCTCCATACAGAGCAGGTGCTTTCCCATGCCTTCCCCTGACTGTGAACCTGAGCTCAGCTTCAGCTGACAGCAGTCCCTGGCCTCACCCAGGGCAGAGGCTTGCAGGGCACACCCAACCCATATACCAGCTCCTGGGTGCCTCAGGTACTGTCAGGGAAGTAGCTCTCACTTCCTAAAGAATCAGGGCCCTTTTCAACTTGACCCTGGCTGGCCACAACACATTTCTTCCAGCATTTAATTTCTAATCTTTCCCCAGAGTTCACTTTGCACTTGGCCAAGCCTAGCTTTCCCAAAACATCATTTCTATCACATGACTTCCCTTTCAAAGGTTTCTGTTCTTAGCTTCTAAGCCTTTCCTTCATGTAAAATAGTGCAAAGAAACCCTAATCAACACAATCACCACGAGAGAGCGCGCTAGGCACACCCCTGTACCCCCTCATCTTCCCAGGGCCCTCAGTCACAAAGACTCCTCAGGGCCTCTAGGCCCTGCTGGGCTCGTGGGAAAACCCCTGATGCAGGGTCTCAGGTCAGAAGGCCTTGGCCTGGCTTGTAGGATCCTCTAAGGCCACCAGAGATTTCCCTTCCCGTCTTCATCAGACCCCTCCTCTTCCCTGCATATTTCTTGCTCACTCTTATTATATTTTATTTCTCCTTCCAGAAATGCCCTTCCCCTCCATGTCCACAAACCCCTCGCATGCTACTTTATGCAATTTTCTTTGTTTCTATTGCAGCCCAGACATCTCTCTCATCTCTGAATGCCTCTTACATTTGTGGTCAGTAGCGAATCATTTACAAGGAACGTTCAAAAAGTCTGTGGAAAGAGTATATAAGGCAAATCAATGCATGGATTTCAAAAAATTTTGCACCAAAATAAAGTTACCATTCAATTCCATTTTTCCACATACCCTCCTGTCTTAATTAATTATCTGAGCTTAGTTTTCCCAGCTGTACTGTGAGAAGGGCCCAGCTTTTCTTCTCTTGAGGGGCACTGTGGCGTCTACAGAGCCCAGTCTCCTTTTCATCAAGCTTGCTGCCCACCTGCAGCCTTCCCCAGCCCTAGACCCCAGAGGCATATGGTTGCCAAGCACTCAGACGTCAGAACAGAGTGCATGATGAAGTTTTATATTCATAGAGGGTTTACCTCTACCCAAACCTTTCTGTTCTTGGTCTACATTCATATGAGGCAGGGACATTTCAAGTGGAAAGCCAGTCACTTAAATAGAAAGAAAATGTCTCTGCGAACATCCCTCAGAGCAGAAAGTCTTATTATAAAACAGCTATTTTCTAATTCTATTTTTGTTATAAAATTTGACCTAGTTATGCAAATTGTTTGAGGCCAAGGCCATCCCTCATTAGGGAAATCAGATCAAAAGCAGTCTCCCCTTCCGATGGCCTCTGATCTGACGTGCGTGTCTCATCTCTCTCCTCTCCACACCTGCCCCTCTCTCCCTCCCTTTGCTCTGTCCAGGTTATCACGATGGCCATCTTGTGATCCGCTGGTTCTGGGCTGCGGTAGAGCGCTTCAATAATGAGCAGAGACTAAGATTACTTCAGTTTGTCACAGGAACATCAAGTGTGCCCTATGAAGGCTTCGCAGCCCTCCGAGGAAGCAATGGGCTTCGGCGTTTCTGCATAGAGAAATGGGGGAAAATTACGTCTCTCCCCAGGTACAGAGGTCCTGCCCACCTTTGGGAAACCCGCTGAGGACGGCAAAGTGCACTCAGCTATGTGGTTGGCCTTGGGGATGGAATCCCTTCTTGGCAGCCAGAGAACTGTTAACTGAGTGGTTAGTGACAGGTGTAGGTGAAGTGCTTCTGAGACTTGGATGAAGACCATATTCTTAGCAAGCTCATATTCTTAGCATGTGTCAGTTATGGGAAGCTTTTTGATCAGTACATAACCCAATGTAATTTAAAGAGGAATGTCTAACCTGGTGGGGAGGAGGAAGGCAAGGACATTGGTGTGCAGATGCAGGAAGCCCAGGTAAGCCTTCCAGCACCGTATCTGAATTTATCCAGCATTCCCACTTAACCTAGGTATATATTCATATATGTGTTGTAGCTCTCCTACTAAGTTTTAAAACACATGAGGACACGATCATGTGTATCTCTAGGTCACTAAAGTGACTTCCATGTAGTAAGCTATCCAGGAAATTATTGTGAGATAAGTGTGGAAAAGAAAGCGCTGGGGCTCTAGCAAATTTTATAGACGAAATTCCCCATGCCATGAGTTTTAATCCCAACACTTCCTGGGTTCTTTCTAGGCCACTTTGTGTGACTCTTAGGAGCACTAAAGAGCTACTTCTGTATAAGTTCTATAGGAATAAATACAGCTTCAACAAACAGAAGAAAACATTATCTTCTTCTAACATGCTGTGTTGTGAGAATATGGAGCAAAGACCTAATCCTGATTGAGGTGCCCAGGGAAGCCACCACAAAGAAACTGGCTCTTAGGTGAGCACTGGGAGGCAAGAAATAGGGAGAAGGGGAATTCCAGGCTGAGGAGCAGCATGAGCATGACTTGGAAGATTCAGGAAGGATCACTGAGCCAGCATGGAGGACATGGTCTCTCTGGTGATATCACAAGGGATGGCTTTGAGAAAGATAGTTTGGTGGGCCACCAGGAAAAGATACTGCTGAGTCGTCTCTGCTTTATTTAATGGCACACTAGACTCACTGCTTTTGTTATTTGGGGGGGGGGGTACAGAATGGGTATGATTTACATATTTGTACTGGAAGCTTTGAAATATATATTCATATGATTAGCCCATACTAATAACCTATCAGGTTAACATTGGGCTTATGAATAGATTCTTCACATCTGGTCCATGGCATGGGTTTTGGGGGGAAGCAGGGACTCTGTCCTGGGATAAGAGGACTCCAAGAAGCAGCTGCCTCTGAGAGGACAATAAAACTGACCCACTGAATTGGAACCTTAACCCTTCTCCCTTATATAGTTGCTGAAGATACAAGAACCTTAAAGGCATTAACTATGTGCTGAGGGTAAGAAATAGATGAGAGTCTGGCCAGGCCACATCAGGAAGCCATGAGGCCGGCAGGTGCACAAAGCAGATTGAAGATGACTCAGGGCTTCCCAGGGACTGCAGGCCACAGTGCACAGGGCTCATACCCAGGAGAGGTGGCTTGGTTGACTTTTCCTCAGATCTTCCTTCTGCAGAAAGGAAAGGCAACTGGCTTCTCAGATGAGAGTACTAGACAGTGTCTCAATGAAACCTGGCTATAGGCCAGACTAAGTTAAATCTTTACATTATCCCAAGTTTTTGCCTTTCAAAACATGTGTGAGGATTAGGAAAAAAGGACTTTCCAGGTACTGGTTTGGGGATGTAATTTTATGGTGCCTGGTGAAGAAATTTCCTATGCTATTGTAGCCCATGTGGAAGAGAGGTGGGCCTGTCACTGAGGCTGAGGTCAAAGAACTGGAAGTCTAGGGTATTATGGGCCATCCATGTGGACTTACAAAGGAGGCTTGAGGGCATCATCAGGGAGCCCAGAAGGAAAATTGCAACCAACTGAGGGGCTGAAGAGAAACCAAGGGGAAGAGCCATCAGCAGGTGAGGGTAGGACATGGACTTCTGCACTTAGGGACCCAGAGGTTATTGACAAACTTGCAAAAGAGCAGCTTGGGCGGTAAAGAGAACAAGACCCCATCTGGAGAGAAGGAGGCATGAGGGGAAGATGTAACTTGCATAACTGAAAAACCAGCAGCAAAGAGTAGTGATTGCTGCCTCTTTAACTCACTTTGAAAAGGTTTCTAGTGGAAAAGAGCAAGATTTTCTTTGGCCCTTCATTTATTAGCATTTTAATCAATACTTTGGAAAAAAAAAATAGAAGAAGCAGATCACCTGTGTGGATGGCACAGGTTAGAAAGGTATACATTACAACTCTGGCACAATCCAAGTCAAAAATTACTCCAAATGCTGGAACCTTAGATTGACACTCTTAGAGTGGAATTTCACATGGTATGACAGATGATCCTTGCGGGGTTTCCAATCATTAATTGCACAGGACAAGAAGAGGGTGATTCACTTTCCTGCAGGTCATGTGGAAAAAGCCAGGATCTTAGGTCACCACCAGTATGACATGGTCCATAAAGTCTTTACCATGATCATAGCTACATTATTAAGAAAATTTTATGTTTCGTTAATGAGTCACAGGTTAACAAAAGGCATTTATGTGTGTTTCGTGGTTGATCCTTCCAATAACCCTCTGAGGTGTACACAGCATGTATCATTATCCCCATTTTACAAGTGAGAAAACTGAGGCTTAGGAAGATTAATAGACTTTCCCAAGGTCATAAAGCTGATAAGTGCTAGACTGGGATCAGAATAGAAGTCTTCCAAGCCCTGGTTCCATGCTTGCTCTACCATCCCACACTTATCTGACATCACTTGGTCCAGTACACTGGGAATCAGGTAAGTAGAAGCTCTGTGTTGTCAGAACCACACCCAGAGGGAGGAGAGTGGTCAGGAATATAGAATTGCATCATGATATGATTGTATTCATTCACTCTATTGACAAATCAGAATTTACCTAAGGGAGTTAACTAAGACTGTAGATAAATACCATAAATGAACTAGAAAAGAAACAGGCCCTTCCATTTAGGTATTATTTTCTAATGCTTTGTCTTTACTCCCCAAAATAATCTCATACAGAATTTACTTCCAACTAATTTGTAAATGTGAGATTTTTTTCCTGTAATATTTCTATTCATAAATGTCAATTAAAATGGCCAACGTGTGTTTGCAGAGTTGTTAAGATGCCCACATCCCATAATGCCCTGCGTTCAATACCCAGCTCTGCTGCTAGTTCCAGCTTCCTGCGAATGCAGACCCTGGGAGACAGTGGCGATAGCCCGAGTGATTGGTCTTTTTTATCACATGAAAGACCTGGGTTGGGTTACCAGCACCCAACTTTGGCCCCAGCAGGAGGCAGCTGTGGTTATTTGAGGAATGAACCAGCAGATGGAAGTTGTCTATCTCTTTTTCTCCCTTTCTCTCAAATTAAGTGATGAATTTAAAAAATTGCCAGAGGAAGAAAACCAACAAGATAACATCTGCTTATATCTTGTTCTTAGTTAATTTAGCTCATTCCAAAGCCCACTTGGGATTTTTCTGCCTTACTTAACTTGGTTATCCATAGCCTAGCACATGGTGTAGTTTCAATCTTCCTAGAGCTGCAAGGGGGAAGGGACACAGGGAGATAGGGTGGAGGTGAGGACCAGTTCCTGAAGCCCAGTGATAAGCTGTTGGCAGGAGGCAGAATAGATGCCTGGCAGACATAGCAGCAGGCTCTCCAGATTCTCCCTGTGAAGACGAATCCCCCTTCCCCCTCCTCTCTTCCTACCTTCCCCATCCTAAAATGCATCTCTCCCATGCCCTGTGTACTGCGTAAGCCTGGTACTCAAGCCCCACCTCTCAGATGCTGTCGTTACATCAAAGCTCCACCCTTAACCCATCAATGCTTAACATTAAAACTTCAGAGTTTAAACAGCTGCATGAGTTCGGGGAGACAAATCCTGTTCGACCCATAACATACTGCAATTACAAAATCAAGCTGGTATCATGGAGTTTATCACTGGGTTTGCTATTATGGTTCTAGTGAAGTATATTTTCCTTAAAAGGCAAACCACCCATCTCTGGTTACTCCATTCCTTCAACTCATCTATTTGTGTCTAGAAGGCTATGGCTGCAAGTTTACAGCACTTTATGGTTGTCCTAAATCATGGTCCTGCTCACTTTTGACTCCCAGTTGATTCCAAGCTTCAGACCAAGTCACAGATACACTCAAGACCAGTTGTATCATTGATCCAAACACCGTAACCAATCTTTTCTTCCCCACTCAGGGCACACACATGCTTCAACCGATTGGATCTTCCACCGTATCCCTCCTACTCCATGCTGTATGAAAAGCTGTTGACAGCAGTTGAAGAAACCAGCACCTTTGGACTTGAGTGAGGAAGCAGAGCCTCGCCTCATGTTTTCCTGGCCAGTGACCCCATCACCCCTTCTGAGATGATACCCATCTTCCTTTCCCTTAATCAACTCTCCTTTGGTTTTGGTATTCCATGATTTTTATTTCCAAACCAAATCAGGATTGACAAAAGCTGTGCATGAAGAACTGCCTTCTTCTAAGATCTAACCTTCAGGCTTCTGTCTTCTGTTTTCAATGAACTGCTAGCCTGTATGCAATATTAAAAAACAGCTGTCTCAAGGTCTGTGTATATCTCCACATACCTCCATTACTAACAATGAAATACGAATGCAAGTTATGCTACATTTGACCAAATGTTAATAAATGTTTACTTCCATTTCTATTATTTAAGGGAAAATTTGAGCATTAAGCATTCCAAGCTTTTATACGCCCATGTCTTCTGAGCAAAGTCACCATTTTTTATAATTTCCAACAACCAGCTCCAGAACTAGGCGCTGATCAGCTCTTTGTTTTCCTCCCACTCTACTTTTTCCTGTGCATATCATCCATCCAAAGGACAGCAGTGGCAAAGCTGAGATTTTTATACATTCAACTCATGATTTACGCGTGGCATCAGTCTCATCAGCTGGAACTAGCCTAGACGTATGGTGCAAATACGACACTTCTAACAATTAACAGTGGCAAGAAAAACACCTCCTGCTGATGTGCATCCCAGGAGTTGTGGGGATTGTGGGCTCAACTTGAGTTCAGAGAAGTCTAGGAGGGGACGCACCCCTAGAAAACACCCACCACACGAGAAGCACAAACCTGTGCACTTGTCCAAAAAGGATCTTCCTGATTGATGGAGCCTGAAGAACAAGGCGTCCACCCCTGTGGTGTTGTGTAGGATGTTGTAAAGCAAACGGGAAAGGGGGAAGAAGGACCTATTTCATTGGTTTCTGTACTGTTTTGTTTTATTCAGTCTAGTGACCGTTCTCCACGAAAGAAAAAAAATGTATAGATAATCTTATGACTTTTGTTAAAGCCCAGTTGCACTTGCTTGGCAGACAATTTTTTTTATTTTCCACTTTGATATTGGTCTTTATCGTGTTGTTCCTTCTGTTTTTTTATTTTGAAAATTGTGGTGTTCAGGTTCCTTCACATCTGAATGTCTGGGGACCACACTGACGAGAAGATACAGAGAGTGACGGTGCTTGTTGGGGATCAAGGGCAATTTAGTACTTCTTCTTCATCTGTAGCAATCCTCCTGGGGCAGAAACATAACAGCCCAAAGGCGCATTGATTTGTGTCAAAATATTCAGTTTCTCTTAGCGTTCAGTAAAAAATATCTTGGAAAACTTTGTGTTTTCAGAAAAATAGTTGTAGGCTCCAAAGACAGCCTAGCATCCTCAATTACATTTCAAATAAACCCAACCATAATGGCCGTTTGCTATTTTTCTAACCTTGTTATCTATGTTGTCTAAAATATGTCATAAATGAAAGTGTTTTTCTTCACTGGGAAAAGAAGAGCTAAAGAGACTCACTATGTAAACTTCACACTGTTGTTTTCACTGTATTAAAACAAGAGGGAAATGTGAGAAATATAAGGTGAGGTGAATTTCATATGAAGCCATGCCTGCCATCCATGATTGCTCATTGGACCAGTTTGTGTCTGGACAGTGCATTATTTGTGTTCCCTCCACTCTAAAGCATCCTTTGATTCATAATTATTTACAAAGTGCAGAAACCCCCCCCCCCCAACTGCAGAGAACCTGTTGTCAGTCAGGGACTATGTATTATAAAAATTTAACCTTCTATTATTATGAAAGAATATTTGCCATGATCAAATCGAATGTGTAGATTATAGGATACAGAATTTGGGAGATAGACAAAATCAATACACTTTTCAGCCTTTGGGAAGTAATGGATTCCAATAGATTTGTTCATTACTTATGAAAACATAAGCATTGTGCGAGTAATTTCCCCCATACTCTTATTCTAACTCTTTGAACAGCATCTTTCATATGGGGAGCTGCTTTCATTTTCAGATTTTGGTGACATAAACATGTAAATACTCATTAATTCAAGTAGTCAACTATTTTATTGGGACTCATACTATTTGCCAGGCATTACAAAGAGCGGAGGCTGCTCAAAAGACAGTCGGCTCCTGGAGAGATTTACAATTTATATTACTATCTATCTAATAGTATTAATATGTGTTCTACCATATAAAGAAGAAATGAGGTATTTTAGAAATTATATTCAGATTGATAACATGGGAATAAATGCATTTTCAACCAACTTTTCCTTATTCAGCAACAAGGCCATGGCTCTAGATGCATCCAAGTAAGCATAACATGAACAGTATTTCAGGAAAGTGCAGAACTCTGTAAGGAAGTCCTGATGTCAGAGATCCCTGAAAGAATGTGAAACTTGCTGAACAGGGCCCCAGTGACTGCTCACAACCTTGCGTAGAATCCTCAGGAAGGAAAGCAAAGAGAAGAGGAGCTCAGAAACCAGTATGGAGAGATTCTTGTTACCTTATATATGAGTTAGATTTTAAAATTACTCCTTATTTTATATATAATATATAGATTTTAAAATTCACTTTTCATTATATATAGGATGAAATAGTAATGGAGTTAAATTGACCAATTAATTTCACCAGATGGAGGTATGAACCACCCCAAATTGTATAATTCAACAGGTAAGGCAGACCTATTTGTTACCATCTGCAATCTATTTTAATTTAAAGCACAAGTTTTCTTCATGGAGGCAAATTGTAAAACTAATCACTTATAGGCCACAATCACCTAAACAGAATTTTTTAGACCTAGCTTTACTAAGAGTATAATGGCCTTAATTAGGGACAAATAAGAACAATAAATAAAAGAAAATGTATGCTGCAAGTTGAAAAAGTACTTTTGAGATATTATAAGGTATCACAGTAATTTCATGGATATCACATTTTATTCTTTAATATGAAGATGATAACCCAAAAATAGAAATTGATTCTGCAGGGTCAGGAGAAATACTCTGTTTCTGAATTCTTTCTAACTTTCTTTGTTCGAGGATACTTAAAAAAGAGCTAGTAGAAAATGAAATTTAAAAATAAGTTTATTTTGGTGCAAAAATTTTTTTGAAATCCAGGAGTAGTTTTTTCCTAACACACATTTTCCAGGAGCTTTTTGAGTACCCTAGCATATAAATTGGTAGAGACTGGGAAAGGTTTATTATTATTATTTTTTTTTACTGCGATCACTATTGTAGCACAAAAACTGGGAGGGTGGTGAAAGAGAGGTATATGACTTTTTGACAAATTTTAAATGAGTGAGATCTAAATTTCTGTCCTTTTAATACCTGATCATATGTCCTTTAACAGTAGATATACTTGTGTGGCAAGCCAATGAGCTGAGTTTTCTAGGACAGTTCTAAAGTTACATCAATTGCATTATTAATCCATGGGTCAAACCATGTGTTCAAAATTTCTTTCTTGCCACAAATGTTTTCCCAGTAAAGACAAAACACTTTCAAATGAAAGTAGTTAGAACTTTACATAAAAATGTGGTGCTTTATTATTATTAATTATGTATTTCAGTGTTCATTATTAAAACTACTGCAATACTATATCATACAAGTCTGGGATGGGTGTTCCAGCTATCATAAAGTCCAAAAGAGAAAGTGTTATTTTCCTGTTAGTGACATGTAGTCCCTTTGTTCTAGTAGAAAAAAAAGGTGCCTAGAGGTAGTACATAGAGTAAATACTGTTCCATTAGCCTACTTCCCGCAGCTTCCAGTTATCTAAGGGAATGTCTAAAACAATTTTGTTAAAAAGTCTTTGTTCTAGTCAAAAGCAAGAGAAGTCCACATTACTGGGCTGATTTTGCTCACATCCACAAGAGAAATGTCACGTGATACTCAGGCCTCGCTTTCTCTTTCATCAGCCACCTTCAAGGAATGTCAATAAACTCACTTTGGTATGGCACTGTGTATGCGCCTTATTGCACCTGGAAGCTTCGGGTACCAACTTGCAATTCCCCCCCTGCCTATTTTCCCAGTGGGTATGAGCAATAAAGCAACAAAGAAGGCTGCCAGCTGCTAGGAGGAACAATTCTCCCCAAAACTGACTTCTCAGAGAGGCATAGCATGCACTCACACATCCAAGAATAAAGGAACAGTTTTTGTGGCAATGTCCTAGGGTGTGCCTATGAGAATGACATGCAAACCATTGGGTTTTACTTTGAGAGTGTCGTTTGTGTAAAACCCAGCGTACACTGACCTGCATGAATTTCCACATGCAGAGATGCTTCTTCAAAGGCTTCAGGACCCAGTGTGACCTTAAGACAAGGGTTACCACTTGGCAAACACATAGTGCCCTGTGGCGCAGATCACAACCTCCCAACATTGAAATGGCGTTAGTTCCTTCCATCTTCTAGAAGACTCTGGCTCTCACTGGGTGGTTACAATCTGATATATTCTTTGAAGAGAAAGTATTTTATTATGGGAGAAAAGTGTGGGTGAGATTGAGAGAAGGAAAACTGAGCAACTGATTTTTAGATAGACATATCAATATTGCATCTTTATGTACCTGCTGGATTTACTGTAGATTGACTCTAATGGAAGATAAAGTATAGAAGGAAAATTATCCTAGACCATTAACTCCTATAGAGGAGTATATTATTTTGTTTTATAATTTTTCTGAAATCAAAATTTGTATTCAGAACACCTGATTTCTATGGCCATATTTTTCCAATACACCTGAGCTGACAACTCACTAGTAACCATATGCTATAAGGAAAAACAGTGACACCTACACAGCTCACTTTCTTTTCTTTTTTCTTTAAGATTTGTTTTATTTATTTGAAAGAGTTACAAAGAGAGGTAGAGACAGAGAGAGAGGTCTTCCATCCATTGGTTCACTCCCCAGATGGCCTCAAGGGTCAGAGCTGTGCCAATCCGAAGCCAGGAGCTTCTTCCAGGTCTTCCACGCAGGTTCAGGGGCCCAAAGACTTGGGCCATCTTCTTCTGCTATCCCAGGCCATAGCAGAGAGCTGGACCAGAAGAGGAGCACCTGGAACTAGAACCGGCACCCATGTGGGATGCTGATGCATCAGGCCAGGACTTTAACCCGCTGCACCACAGTGCTGGCCCCAACACAGCTCACTTTCAGATGTAGTTTATGTATGTTTAGCATTGGTGGTTCTTTACTAAAATAAATGAAGTTATGAGAACCCAGGAGAACCATCATCAGTCTTGCAGAAATCATCACATTTATGTCTGGGAATAGACAGATGCTTTTCTTTGATATGTTTATCTTGGAGATAAGGGCTCTGAAACAAGGAGAGTTGATGCTCAAAACCACCAAGCTTTGTCTTGGGAGCTAGTAGTATGCCCTATCACAAAATACTTTTTGGGGTCCTGGGCTTCCAAGTTTACCATACTCATTAGGCAATTTGCCAGGGGTGATGTGTGTGTGAAGGAGAGGTGGAAGCTAAGAGTGAAATCCAGGAAGGCACAGAGGGTATGCATCCACTAAAGAAGGATGCACTGCTGCCTGTTCCCATGGCTCCATTGTGTGGCTTTGCTGTGGCTGCTGTTATGTGCCACAAACTGCGTGACTTAAACAATGATGGGAAGATGAGATCAAGGTGTGTTATGAGGAAGAGGGTTTGTTCTATTGAAGAGTTATGAGAGACATTCTATCCTATTCCTCTCCCCTGGCTTTTGGTGTTTTCCTGGCAGTGTTCGGCATTCCTTGGCTACAGAGCTCTGCCTTCACTTTCATACAATGTTCTCCCTGTGTGAATGTGTTAGCACATGCAATATGGGTGTGTTATATGCATATAATCCACAGGAATATTATTTGGTTTGCTAATTATTATTACTAGTTTTTGTCAATTTTAAACATAACCTAAAACAAAACTCTGACTTTTTCTTTCAGTAAGGGATGTATTTTGAGTCTGTATTTTGTGTATACAATGATTAGGTCTCCTTAGTGACTTACTGTTGTTTTTTTTTTAATTTTTATATATATATATTTTTTTTTGACAGGCAGAGTGGACAGTGGGAGAGAGTGGTTCACCCTCCAATGGCCACCGCGGCCGGCGCGCTGTGGCCGGCGCACCGCGCTGATCCGATGGCAGGAGCCAGGTGCTTATCCTGGTCTCCCATGGGGTGCAGGGCCCAAGTACTTGGGCCATCCTCCACTGCACTCCCTGGCCACAGCAGAGAGCTGGCCTGGAAGAGGGGCAACCGGGACAGAATCCGGCTCCCCGACCGGGACTAGAACCCAGTGTGCTGGCGCCGCAAGGCGGAGGATTAGCCTGGTGAGCCGCGGCGCCGGCGACTTACTGTTTTTTAAGATTTATTTATTTGAAAGGCAGAGAGACAGAATGAAATCTTCCATCCACTTGTTCACTCCCAAAATGGCCACAAACTTAGAAGCCCAGAACTTCATCTGGGTCTCCCAGGAGGATGACAGGGGCCCAAATATTTGGATCATCATCCACCGCTTTCCCACACATATTAGCAGGGTGGTAGATTGGAAGTGCAGCAGCTGGAATTCAAATGGATGCTATGACATGAGATGCTGGTGTCACAAGCAACAGCTAACCTGCTGCGTCCCAATGCTGGCCCCAGTGGCTGATTTTTTAAATAAATATGTAATGGTCTTGTTAATCTCCAGCAATGTTCATCTAAAATTACAGTAAGAGTTAAGTGTGCATGCCCCACCTATTGTGTAAACATCCATAAAACCTTATACCTAATAAATGGAAAATGTGTGAGGCCGACGCTGTGGCACAGTGGGTTAAAGCCCTAGCCTGCAATGCTGGCATCCCATATGGGCACCGGTTTGAGTCCTGGCTGCTCCACTTCTGATCCAGCTCTCTGCCATGGCCTGGGAGGGCAGTAGAAGATGGCCCAAGGCCTTGGGCCCCTGCACCCACATGGGAGACCTGGAAGAATCTCCAAGCTCTTGGCTTCAGCCTGGCCTAGCCCCATCTCTTGTGGCCATGTGGGGAGTGAACCAGAAGATGGAAGACCTCTCTCTCTCTCTACCTCTCTCTGTAAATCTTTCAAATTTAAAAAAAAAAAAAAACTTAGAAAAAAGAAAACATGCAATTTTTCTAAGCACAGAAACATTTACGAGAAAATGATTACATTCAGGATACAAATGGTGTTTCAGTAAAGTGCCAAACATCTCGCTGGCTCACATTTCCCACTGCCCAAAGAGCATCTCTGTTCTGTGGGCTAACGGATGTATCAAACTTGTGTCAGCAAGGGTGAAGGTCAGGAAAGGAGAACACTCTGAGTGACTGGAATAGGGATTTATTACAGGGATAAACCTTACAGGGGCCCTGGCTCACTTGGTTAAACCTCTGCCTAGGGCACTGGCATCCCATATGGGCACTGGGTTCTAGTCCCTGTTGCTCTTCTTCCAGTCCAGCTCTCTGCTGTGGCCCGGGAGGGCAATGGAGGATGGCCCAAGTGCTCGGGTCCCTGCACCCACATGGTAGACTAGGAGGAAGCACCTGGCTCCTGGCTTCGGATCGGCTCATGTGCTGGCCATAGTGGCCATTTGGGGAGTGAACCAATGAAAGGAAGACCTTTCTCTCTCTCTCTCACTGTCTATAACTCTACCTGGCAAAAAAAAAACAAACAAACAAACAAAAAAAAAACAACAAAAAAAAACTTACATAGTTGTGGAAGCTGATGAATAAACTTGGATGCTTTCACATTTATTTGGCCCGAATCAGAATTGATGTCAAAGGTGAGGCAGGAAAGAACCAGGACAGATGAATCAAAGAAGGGCAGGTTGAATCTCAGGAAAACAGACTGGAAGCCACTCTATTTCTCACTGCTCCGACCTCAAAACCTCAAAAACATGGAGAAAGTTGGCTCTTTTCTGTGTGGCACTGCACATATATATGGTCTCCCCCACCCTGTCTCCCTTTCTCCCTTTCAAATGAACACATTTTTAAAGAAAGAATTCAATAGTTATTTCATGTAATATGCAAAAAGTAAGGTGAAATGGATCACAGACACAAAGATGTAACAACGAAGCAGAGAGGATGACATAGAGAATAGCTTTACAGCTAGGCAAAGATTCCTTTAACATCACAAGAAACACTATCACAGAAGTACAACTTGATCGACTACACTGCAATCTTCTGCCCATGCAGAGATGCTGTTATGAGAAATGAATACACAAGTCACAGACCGGTAGGAAATACTTAAACACATGTACCTGCCAAAAGATTTACTCACTGAGTGTGCAAAGAACTCAATAAAACTCAATTTTAAAATGAGCAAACGTCTTGAACACGTGCTTCAAAAAGATAAGCAAATTGCCAATAAGCACATGAGAAAGTATCAGTAGCATTAGTCACTGGGGAAATATAAATTTAAATAATAGTACAGGGGTTATACACTCACTAGGATAGCTACAATTTTAAAAATCAGAGAGTGCCAGGTATTGGAAAGGATCTGGAGTAACTGGAAGTCTCCTACACTGTTGCTAGGCATGTAAAAGGTTATAACCACTTTTGAAAACACTTTTGCAGTGTCTTAAGATTGTAATCATGCATTTACCCTGTGACCTAGCAATTCTACTTCCAGATATTTCCCAAGAGAAATAAAAACATTTCCACACAAAGACATATACAAGAATAGTAGCTTTATTCACAATAGCCCCAAACTGAAAACAGTCCAAGAATCCATCAACAAGAGGGTGGGTAAATGCAGGGTGGCATAGTGAAACCACAGAATCCTACCCAGCCTGAAGGAACTTCATACGTAGACAACCACATGGACAAATCTCAAAGACATTATGAGTAAAAGAAATCATACGCAAGAGTAATTTGTATATGACTACATTTATACATTTATATGAAGCTCCAGAATAGGCAAAACTAATCTATGCTGATAGAAGCCAAACCAGAGATTGATCTGGGAGTGGCAGGCATGGAGTGAAAGGAGCCCAAGAGAAACTTCCAAAGCCATGGAAGCTCTCATTCCTTCATAAGGTGTGGCTTCCATGGGTGTTTGCACTTTCAAAACTGGTGGAATTCAATGAATTTAAACAATGTCTCAATTAGTTGTTTTTATAAATCCTGTTTGCTTATATTTATAATTTTTTATTTGTCTAGTATTGTTCTATGTTCCTTTTTTCTCTCGCCATTTTTGGATTTAATTTTTTTTATTATTTCATGTCCCTCCTCTGTTACCTGCTTATATGGGTTTTTGTTGTTGTTGTTGTTATTTTAGCTGTTACTGTAGTGGTTACAATTAAAAGTAAGTGCTTTTTTTAAAAAAAAAGATTTATTTATTTGAAAGACAGAGTTACAGAGGGACAGAGAGGGAGACAGAGAGAGAGAGAGAGAGAGAGAGAGAACTTCCATCTGCTGGTTCACTCCCTAAAGGGCTGCAACAGCCAGGGCTGAGCCAGGCTCGAGCCAGGAGTTCGGGTCTCCTACATGGGTGGCAGGGAGCCAAGTACTTGGGTCATCTTCTGCTGCCTTCCCTAAGCATATTAACAGGGAGATGGATTGGCAATGGAGCAGCTGGGCCTCGAACCAGTGCTTATATGGGATGTGGGTGTCAGAAGCAGCAGTTTAACCTACTGTGCCACAACACCAGCCTCAAAGTACATACATTTATTAAATTCCAGAAAATGTTAAGGCTGTAGAACAGTTAAATTCCATTTGTTCCCTATTTTGTTCTAGTATTATATTTTAATTGTCTATACATGTACAACCCATATGGCATTATCTTTACTGTTTTATACAGTTCATATTATTCATATCTGGCCATGTATTATTAGCCTTTGCCATTTTCTGCATTCCTTTAGACACCTTTCATTTGGGAGAATTTTCCATTTGCCTGAAAAAATGCTTTTGGAATTTCCTTCAGTGTAGGTCAGCTGGTGATCCTAATGTTTCTTTGTTATAAAAATTTCTGTACTCAATTTTAAAGAATATTCTTACAAGGTCTATCACCTAGGTTGACAGCTAATTCCCTCCGTGCTTTGAAGCCTTTTGAAGGTGTTTGGGCTTCCATTGTTTCTTCAAGAATAGGCCCTCATTTTCTTCGTCTCTGTGTCTTGGTGGTTGACTGTGATCTGCCTACATATGATTTCCTCTGCTTGACATCCGGCTCACGATGTTTCTTAACTTCCTTTTTGCTGTTCATTCATTTTGAATAATTCCCAGCTGTTGTCTTTGCACAGACTGCCTCATTTATTTTTTTTCCTCTCTTTCTGATTCTCTGAATACTCAGGTGTCAGATGTTTTATCACATGGGTTTCATCCCTTTTCTGAACTTTATGTCCCTTTATCTCCTGTATTTCATTGTGCATATTTTCTCTTATTAGGCTAATTCTGGCTTGAGTTGTATCCAATCTGTTAATGAACTCATCATTCCAGCATTGCTGGAGGCTGAGCTAGCTGGCAGCTGAGTAAGATCCTCCACCCATCGTCTCCACACAGGGACACCAAGATGAGCAGCTCTCCAACAACCAACCTCGCTTTACAGAGGCTCCAGGAGCCAGGTGAGACGCTGCAACGCCAGCTTGCAGTATAATAAGAAAAGATGCATGGAAGGAGCCAGGAAGGAGGGAGTTGCCTTCTTCACCTCTCCTTCAACTCCAAGCAGCATAACTTAGAGAGAGGCCTCCTGCTTGTGGAAGGGAAAAGGAATTAAACCCAGGCCATTGTACCAGGCCCAGCACAGTAAAGAGTGCTGGGGAAAAACCCCACAACTCCTGTCCGCAGGCCAGTATCCACAGACTGAGCCCCTGGAACTGCTAGCCAGGCAGCCGAGGGGCTGCCTCCACCACTCCTCCCTCAATCTTGGGCATCACAGATCACAGGGAGACTCCACCTGCTGCAAAGTGGGGCAGAAAAGTGAGCATAGAGATACTTGATGGCCTTAGAAAGAAGGCAGCTAAGGACACAGCACTGCCATCTGCCTCTGGAGATCAACCCTGAACCAAGAGGGACCCTGCTCAGCAGGGGAAGCAAAAGCATGAGGTCACTTGCAATCCCCACACTGTAGGCACGGGAGGCATTGATGTTTGGAGGAACCTTCGGCCCTCACGGCCCCTGAGCTCTTGAGGGAGCTGCTGGGTTCCCACACTGGTACACTGCCCTAGAGAAAGAGTTCAGCCCATTATACCCTCTCTCAACTAGGCTCTCGTTGCAAAGAACCACCTAGAGACCTTGCCCACCTGGAGTCCTGTGGAGCAGCAAGGGCAGCTGCTCCCAACAGCTCTACCAGGCCATCCCCGTGAGCCACCCAGGATGCCTCAGCCACTCACTGTCAACCCCAGACCGCAATCAGGCAAGCGAGCCTAAGCAGCCCGGCACTGAGGCCACTGGGAAGTCTCACCCCCGCATCCCCCCTCCCCGTGGCCCCAGGAAGTAGAGCAGTGAGTTCTCAGAAGCTCAGCCCACTGAGACCTGAGAAGCAGGTGCTCAGCCCCACCTGCCCTCTCTTAGCTTTGGGAAACAGCGGAGAAGACCTCCATGTAGTCCCCAGGGAGCTTTGAAAACTGACAGGCGCCCTATCTGGGCACACCGGTGCAGCCTGGCCCCACACAGCTTTCAGATACTGACAGACACCCCGCTCTACCACTGGGCATTCTAGACCACATCCACTTGGGCTTATAGGTTGGCCCTACTCTCACACAACCAATGGAAATTACTGCCCCCCCTCCACATGGTAGACCACACCCAGAGCTCCCAGCAAACCCGCCCTACCCAACAGAATTACATCCAAACTGTGTAATCCCACAATCCCTGAGGCAAGGCCACTGAGACCCCCACAGGCATTGCCAATGCTGACTACAGCTGAAGACACTTCGTGAACACTAAACTGAAACACCTACGGGAACCGAAAAAAAAAAATACATATGTAACAAATAACCACGGACATGTTGTCAGCTGAAAGTCTTTTACTATAAAAAGCAATGTAGAGGCACAAAACGAATGAAAAAACAAAGCAAGTTAATGCCTCCAAAGGAATACAATAACCCAAGCAACAAATCACAGAGAAATGGCAATTGACTAATTTCCTGACAAAGAATCCAAAAGAATGACTTTAAGGAAACTTAATGATAATTAATAAAATACAGACAGAAAATTTGACCACATGAGAAAGATAATTTCATAATAGGAATGAGAAATGTAACAGATTGAGATAATAAAAAGGAATCAATCAGAAATTATGCCACTAAAGAATCGATAAATTAAAAATAAAGTTGAGAACCTTAACAGCAGAGTTGAACTAGCAGAAGAATTCCTGAGTGTGAAGTCAGGTTTCTTTTAAATAACCCAGATTAAAAGAAGAAATAAGTTTTAAAAGAATGAAGCAAGTCTTCCAGTGTTACGAGACACTGTTAAGTGAGCAGATTTTTGCATTCTGGTTATAGCAGAAGGAAAGCGAAGGAACAGGCATGGAAAACCTAGCGATTGGGATAACTGCTGAAAACTTTCCAGACCTTGGGGAGAACATAAGCATATCCAGGGCCAGGAAGCCTGCAGGGCTCGTGTTAGGCCGGGGCAGAAAAGATCCTCTCTGAGGCACCTGATAAAAACAGACAGAAGGCATCAAGGCACTCACGAGGGAGTCACCATGATGTTCATGGTGTTTTCTCAGTGTAAACCTTACAGGCTAAGAGGGCATGGTGAAAGCAAAGTTTGCCAGTCAGGAATACTGTACCCCAAAACGCTATCCTAAGAAAGGAAGGAGAAATGAAGGCTTATTATGCCTGGTTAAATCTGAAGGGCTCCTCACGACCAGCCCAGCTCTGCAAGAAATGCTTAAGGGGGTCCTACATTAGAAGTGAAAAGGGGGCCGGCGATGTGCTGGCATCCCGTATGAGCGCCGGTTTGAGACTAGGCTGCTCCACTTCCGATCCACCTCTCTGGTACCGCTTGGGAAAGCAGTAGAAGATGGCCCAGGTCCTTGGGCCCCTGCACCTGTGGGGGAGACCCGGAGGAAGCTCCTGGCTATTGCAGCTATTTGGGGATTAAACCAGCAGATGCAGGACCTTTCTCTCTGTTTCTCCCTCTCTCTGTGTAACTCTACCTCTCAAATAATATCTTAAAAAAGTGAAAAGATAGTAAATACCATCGAGAAAATGCACAAAGATCCCAATCTCAAGAGTGGAGCCGATACACAAAAAAGAAAGACAAGACAACGCAAATGGCTCGTGTTTTCATTTTACTTGTTCTAGATTCGAAAAGCTCTATATTTTTCATCTGCATTCATTAGAACTGCAGTTCTGTAGGATTTTTAGATCACTCTTACCACCTTGAAAACGGGATGAGCGGGACGGGGAGGAAGGGGACCGGGAAGCCGAGGCCACCGGGAAGAGCGGGTCCCCCGTGGGGAGGGGACGGATTCCGCCCACCGCGCGGCGGCCAAGCGTCCGGAGGGGCCGGCAGCACCGCAGACGAAGGGCGCTGCGGGCGCCGAGGCGCGGGACGAGGCGGGAGCAGAGGCTGGCGTTCGCACGCGGTGGCTTCGGGGTGCTCATCTGCCCTCCCAAGTCTGAAGTTCCGGGACGAACGTCCTGAACCTGGGCATGCAGACTGTAGTCAGGAACGTAAGGACGGGTGAGAGCGCCTGGAAGGGCGATCTGCACACCGGCGGGCGACCGAGCGAGGGGCCGGCTCCAATCCCTCAGAACTCGCCTCCGCGGACCCCGGCGACCCTGCCGGCCTCGCGGGGACCGCCCTCAGGGCTGCACCTTCTCCCGTTGGGCTGCAGGGGGCGCGCGCGAGGCGCCGGGCTCTCGGGACCCCGCCGGAGCTCGAGGGGGCGGGCTCGGCGTGAGGGGGCGTGGCCGGTGGCGGGGCGGAGCGGCGTGGAAGCCGCCGGCCGCAGTCGGAGCGCGGCGCGTCGGCGAGCGGGTGTGTGGGGCTGCACGGGCCGGCACGAGGCGGCAGGAGGCGGGCCCGTTACCCGCCGGCAGCTCTGGGCGGGCCGGGCGGCCGGAAAGGAGGCGCCCCCGAACACCATGATTCCTCTGGAGAAGCCGGGCAGCGGGGGTTCCCCCTCGGCCGCCGCCTCGGGCTCGGGCCCGGGCGGCCGGGGTCAGAGCGCGGCGCGCCGGCCGCCGGCGCTCCGGACCCGCGGGCTGCTGACGGAAATCCGCGCTGCCATTCGCACCGAGCCCTTCCAGGACTGCTACAGCCTGAGTCCAGGCCGGGAGCTGGGCAGGTGAGGGCTGGCGGAGCGGGGGTGGGGGTGGGGGTGGGCGCCCGGGCGCGACCCCGACCCCGGCGCGGAGACGTCCCGGTCGCCCGGGGCGGGACGCCGGCGCTGATAAGTGTGGTGGCTGGAGGTGGCGTCGCCGGTGCCGATAAGGCGCAGTCGTGACTTGGCACAGGCCCGGGTGCTGGAGGGCATCCGAGTCGCCCCGGCTCTTGCCCTCTCCGCGTCGCGAGCCGGGGGGCCCTGGGCCGAGAGGGGAAGCCCCCGAGGACGGGTGGAACCGAGCAGGGGTGCCCGGGCACCTGGCACCTGCCTCCCCTCGCGCCCTCCAGCCTCTGCGATGACTCAAGTGGGCATCTCACGAGCGAGGCGTGCGAGCCGCAGTGGCGACCGCTTCCCTTGCCCCGGTGCTGTTCACGGCTGTCAGCCACCTGCTGACTCCATCATTTTCGATTTCTTCGTTGCTTTTGTGTTAGTGCTAAACTAGTTAGGCCCCTGTGCCTTAGGTTCAAGTTGGCTGTGTGCATGGGCCTTGCGCGTTTCCTACTTTGTGAACCGGCTCTTCGGGGCTCTTGCCTCCTCCCTGTCCCACCCTTTTGGTTTTTTTTTTTTTTTTTAATTATTTTTTTAAGAGGGGCCTACAAGCTTACACCTCCGTCCCTTTTGGAAGCTGGAACAAGGGAAGGCGGTTTGCACGCTGTGCATTTTGTGTGGTGCAGAGCACATGCCGAGCGAGGTCTGTGGCGTGTGGGGACTGTCGTCTGCCTTGAGAGTAGTGTGGAGAAGGTGTCCAGTGCACTGGCTTCGGCTCAGACCTGGACTCGTTTCCCTCTTTGCCTTGGGGTGGGGGACTTCGGCTCCCAGCCTCACTTTTCTCACCCGTAAAAATGGCCGTAATGACAGGACTTAGCTCGCGGACGTGTGCTGAAGACGCCGTGCTTGTAAAGCGCATACCACGGGCCCTGGCACATAGCGTTCAATAAGCGTTCGCTGTTACTGCAAACATTTGTCATGGTTGCAAAATAGCTAGCTCCATGGTGTAATGGGAAAGGGCCAGGCAGGCTTCCGCCGATGTCTTGGGAAAGGCATTGGTTGCAATGATAAAATATTTTACAAATATTGAAGAGGAATTTTTGGGGGAGGGGCAGATTACCTTCAAAATGTCTTATTTCAGATGTTGCCAAAAGGTAAAACACCTTTCAGGAACAAGACTTACTTCACTGGGCTGGGCACTAATTGGCTCTGTGCACGTTTTAATTATGACACAAGAAGACAAGGAAGCTACTGACTCAGCTAGGTATTCTAATTTGTCCAAATTCCAAACGTTCTGAAGTAACCCTATTACACGCAAAGGGAAGACTACATTTTTCCATTATTGGGTTGGATTGTCCGGCTTCATCCCATAAAAGGAAGACTGACACTGCAGAACTGAGGCATCTTCAGGTGGCAGGCGCTGTCTTTTAGACTTTATGCTAAATGATTTAATCTGAAAAACTCATTTGTACCCTAGCAGGTATTATGGGACTGATTCCTCCAGGAATGCCTCCTTCAACTTGTGTTTTAAGTTCTGTTATAAAATTAGCTTGCCTGCAAGGTTATTTGTTTCAGATTTTCATGTCTTCTACTTACTTTTTCTTATATATACTTCTTTATAAAAGGATTAACTCCAAAGCAGAACAGAGCTTGGAAAGATTCTTGATGTTAAGAGCCTGATATTAAAAATAAAATTGATGTGTTGTTTCCTTTTTGATTATTTTTTTCATCACGAAGGAGTTGAAGGCAGCGGTTAAGAACGCTGGCTTTGGAGTCAGTGTGATTGCTGTCTCTCACCAGTGATGTGATCTTGAGCACATTACCTAACCACTGAATTAAATGAAACGGATGTATAGCTTCAACGCAGTGCTTATTTAACTTAGAAAAGAAGTGCTCAATCAATGAAATCCATCATGTGGCTCAGTAAGTGTTGTTATTCTAAATGTAACAAAAACTAAAAATAAGAAAACCAGTGCAGTCACAAGCTCTGCCTCTATCTCTGGCTAAAATAATGAAGTCTGTTCAAAAGACACAGATACTCTTGGGAAGTCTCAGGGAGTAAAATTCCTGTTTTGTATATAAGCACTCCTTGTTTAAGGTTTATTAATATTACCAGCATGCTGTGGCTTTAACTTAGTTGAATGTGTTTATGCATGATCTTTTTTTTTCTCATCAGAAAATTTGCCAAAATTTCCAACTGTTAACTGTGGTTGCATTTCTGATAGGACTCTAATTGATCTCATGCTGATGTGTAACTTAGAAAATTACCCATGCTGTTTCAGTCAGTCATGTGGGAGGAAAAACAAAGGATTCTTTCAGTTTAGTCCGTGGTCTTTTTTCTTTGTAAAATGTGGAAGCACTGTGAAGAGTTAACTTAAAAAAATCCACTTCTTTTGGGTGATGCTATTTTATTGTGACAAAACACTTTCAGAAAAGATGGCTGTTGGAAGAGAGTTTAAGTGGTCAATATTGATTCCAGAGTAATGGCAGGATATGATGGCGATCATTTTAAAAAATGTCACATTCTTTCATGTCACCAACGGAGGCCATAGCAACCTAAATGGGGGTAAATATATGACGTAAAGCTTTATTTTATTGCCTCAAGTTTGACTTGTTATTCCGAAGGCTTGTTACCTTTCTTTGAGTCAGGATGTGTGCCAGTGTAAACCACATTAATGATTTCATTACTGAGGCACGGAGAAATGACCTTGGATGCTGAGAATTTTTTTTTTTCATGTTGATTCCACTTGACTTTATTGGTAGTATAGGAACAGAAAGATGTTTCCATAAATTTAAAATTATACATATTTCACATCAAATGATTTGCTTTGCCTGTGTTTTCATTACTAGTCCTCAAATTAATTTTTTAGAAAATATGTTCATAAAATCAGAAGAACATCATTTGTTTGTTTTCCCACGGGAAAAGTTGTAAATGGAATTCTCTGCTGCAACGGGCACTTCATACCTGTGCAGGCGTTGTAGGCACTTGCACTTGCAGTAGCTCATGGGTTCTCGCTGCCAGCCAGTTTGCAAAGTCCCATTTTTTGCAGATGAGACAACCAAGACAGAGATTGAGTCTTAGGGGAGACATTATGACACCACAGATGATTTTCAAAGAATATTCTGTAGTCTATCTTATGACTGTGAGCAGTAGCCCATAGTTTTTATGAAAGGATTTGTTAATGAGTTCAGATTGCAACAAATGCATACCAAGCTTCAGTGTCCTATAATTCCTTCCCACGGTGGTCCTTAGCATAGACAAGGATGTCATACCTCCTACCCAGAGCAATTCAGGATTAACAGAAAGAAGGATTTTTATCAGAGAATGTTTAAGAGAATTTAGCACCAAGTGGATTTTGGGAAATGTGTTCTTACGTAGACTGACGATAGTAGGTAACGGCTGCAGGTTTTAGACTTTACACCTGTGTCATAAATTATAATTTCTTATGCCTGTAGAAATTGCCTTGCTTTAGGATATACATTATTTAAGATATCTTGGCAGCTAGCCATTCCTTTGAACAATTAAATTCCTGAACATTTTTGGGGGCCCACATCACTATGGGATGGATAAAGGAAAATTGGCTCCATTTGTGAATTAGCAGAAATTACTTGGGAAGTGTGACTTCTGCTCTAAGGCAGATATTTCTTTAAGCAAGTCAGGTTTAATTTTGAGAAGTTGGGGCTTAAAATGTTAAAACTAAAATTTTAATTTAACATACATTAATTCAAAGGTCCAATGAATTTCTCTATTTTAATAAAACCATAGCAGAATTTTATGAAATTTGATTATTGAACCAAATGTATTAGAAAGCTAAGTAGTTATCATTGATCTGCCTCTTCAGGTAATTAAGAAAGAATTAGATTTATTGAGGGAACTTAGAGACAAAGTCGAGTTCAAATTAGATCACATCCACAACTCTTGTGATTCTTTTTGCACACATTTTTGTCATTGGTTGTGTCACAGACCTAAAGTTAGTTCCAAGAACATTAAAAATAGCTACTAATTACTGATTATTTGCTGAATGCCACGTACTTCAGAGATGTTGTTTTATTTAATCTTTACTACCCTGTAAGGTGGGTGCCAGCAACCCCATTTTACAGATGAGGACTCCAGGGTTCCATGACTGAATTAATTGTCCTTGATCACAGTTAGCAGCCAGAATTAAAGACTAAGCCTGACTTTTAACGTCCTGCCTGTTTTTAATCTCTCATGCTGATACATAAGTTAAATGAACTCACTGAATTTTACATTTAAGGTTAATAGATTTATTTATTTTTGCTGTTTTCCTTGATCTTTTTAGAGATAAAGAAGACTAAATCTATTGTAGGTCATAAAAAAAAAAAAAAAAAAGAAAAGAAAAGAAAAGGCAAAGGGGCTGAGAGAGTAAGAGAGAGCTTCCATCCTCTTGTTCACTTCCCCAAATGCCCGCGACAGTCAAGGCTAGGCCAGGCTGAAGCAGGAGCCCAAATTTTTGGGCCATAATCTACTGCCTCCCATGCCTATTAGCAAGAAACTGGATCAAAGGCAGAGGTGTACTCAGCCCAGGCGCTCCTATATGGGGGATGTGGGCTTCTTAGAGGCAGCTTAACTCACTATGCCACAATACCTCTAGGTCTTTCTTAAGTGGAGCTTCTTTACACATCAACCCAATGGAGTTAAATAAGTTATTCCCATCTGTGACAGATAAATGTTATTCCCATTTGTGACAGACATGCCACTGGAAAATTTCATGGGGGAAATAACATTGGAATGAATTTCAGTAGTAGTGATATAAACTTACCCCAGGCATTGACAATAAAATGGGGTACAATGATAGGAAAAATCAGTGAAGAGAAAATGACAATTAATGTGTTAAATGTTTTGAGGTCAACTTGCCATAAAATTTTATTTAGCAAAAATGGGAAGAACAGTGTACATATATGTTATATGTAAAATAAAATCAATATGCTATATGATGCAAATTGTGTACCTA